GGTGTGCACCACTGTGCCCAGATTTGTACTTTATTTTAAATACATTTTTTCCATCTTGTGGTATAATCCTAGTGCAACTTCTCATCAAAATAAACTTTCCTAATTGAAAATGACCCTTCAGCTACCATTAAATTTATCAACCTCACTTAAATGAAAAAGAATTGGTGGTTGTCATCTTAAACAAAAATAAGAAGTACTGTAGCATTGTCTACATTGCTTCTTACAACACAAACTTTGAAAGACCTAGTGATGCTTTATAGAAAAGTTTAGTTGGTCTTGAAAAGGCACATGGTGGGGGCTGGGGATGTGGCTCAAGCGGTAGTGTGCTCGCCTGGCATGTGTGCGGCCCGGGTTCGATCCTCAGCACCACATACMAACAAAGATGTTGTGTCCGCCGAGAACTAAAAAATAAATATTAAAAATTCTCTCTCTCTCTCTCTCTCTCTCCCTCCCCCCCCCCCCCCCCCCCCCYCYCTCCTCTCTCCTCTCTCACTCTTCTCTTTAAAAAAAAAAAAAAGAAAGAAAAAAGAAAAGGCACATGGTGGGCTAGGATTGTGGCTCAGCGGTTGAACATTCACCTAGCACAGGCGGGACCCGGGTTTGATCCTCAGCACCACATAAAAATGAAGGCATTGTGTTGTGTCCATCTACACACGGTTTTTGTTTTGTTTTAAAGAAGTGATTTATTTTATACATATATATATATGTAAAAATTTTAGTTGTAGGTAACACAATATATTTGTTTATTTTTTTTTTTGTGGTGCTAAGGATTGAACCCAGTGTCTCACACATGCTAGGCAAGCACTCTACCACTGAGCTACAACCCCACCCCTTGTTTGTTTTTTAACATTCTGGAAGTTTTGCTACCACCACTCTTTCTGTTGCAGAGATGGCACCTGTGATTATTGGGATAGACTAGAATGTTGTTCAAACTAAAAGCCAGAGCCAAAATTTAACTGCACGGTAACAGTACACTTTTCCCCAGCCTTTTGTTTCCTAAATATGCAATTTTATATCATGCATTAGAGTACATAAACTGTGTTCTAATGATTTACCTCTAATTTTATAATATGGAAAAAAAATTAAGGAAGGATATGACCTGGGAAAGAGAAAAGTGTGCCCAAGAACCCTTATTGCAGTGAAAATAGACACATTTGTACCCCAACTATATAATAAGAAGATAATCCATTTGATCCAGAAACACTGCTCAAACTTTTCTTCATTGATGAGAAAGATCCTCCTTTGGCGTTAACTGGGATGAGAGTATCAGTTTGTTTCGAAAGAAAAGTTGAGTACAACAGAAAATAGTTTTAACTTTGGTCCACATGCCTGTTAGCTTCTTCTTTTTTAAATTATTTATTTATTTGTTCTAATTGATTTGTTAACCTGTTAGCTTAAGAATAGTCATACTTCTCATAATCATTTCAAAAACAGGTGAGCTGGGCACAGTGGCACACCCCTGTAATTCCAACTGCTCAGGAGGCTGAGGCAGGAGGATGGGAAGTTCAAAGCCAGCCTCAGCAATTTAGAGAGGCCCTAAGCAACTTGGTGAGACCCTCTCTTTAAATAAAATTACAAAAAAGGACTGGGGATGTGGCTCAGTGGTTAAGTTCCCTTGGGTTCAACACCCTATAGCCCCCACACCCACCCCCCAAAAAAAATCCCAACATGTAAATATAGAAATGTATTTCCATGTATAATCAACATAGCTGTTCTGCCCTCATCCTCTGCCTTTTCCGCTTAGAAACCCACTATCAGTTTGCTTTTTAAACCCTCAGCACCTCATGGTCTTTCTGGCACCTTCAGCAGCATCTGCTTGGTTAGGCTCTCTCTTGGCTCTATAAGAACCTCAGCAATTTCTTTGTTATCTTTGTCTACTGTCTCTCATTCAGTCTTTTAAAACATGTGCCCTTTTTGCTTAAAATCAATGATTATTCATAGTTKACAATGTATTTTTGTATGGTATGCTGTTAAGATACATACTGAGCTGTTCATCTTGCCCTGTGTGTTTTTCCAAACATGTATCCTGCAACTTTTCCAGATATCCTACTAACCTGTAGCTTCAGTGAACTTTGGGTACTATTTGCAGTAATTTCAATTTAAAATGCCTCCTCTGCTGCCTCTTTGCTTTTAATACCTCTTTAAGCTTCAAAATTTAATATCATGTCATCTCTAGGAAAACTTATGTGACATCAGTTTTCCTCATCCTAATTCAAAGAACCCTTTCCTAGATCACCAATGAGTGAACTTTGTATAATACATCTGTTAGAAGGCATCATATTTTAATATATGGGGGTTTTTGTTGTAGTTTTGGTGGTGCCAGAAATCAAACCCAAGGCTTCAAGTGCTAAGCATATGCTCTACCACCGATCTGCGTACCAAGCCTATCATGTTCTTGGTGTTTTCATTTTTTGTCTTTAGTGGTGCTAGGGATTGGACTCAGGGTCTGCTAGGGAAATGCTCTACCACTGAGCAACTGTTGGTTTTTGGCTGGCCAAAACTACTACGGAGGCATCTCCTAGAGAAGAGCCAGATGTATGTTTAATATGCAAATGCCCAGTGCCTAACTACTTGTTTTCTTACCAAACTTGCAGTAAACTGTTGAAACTTTCCTTGCTAGGAGATCTTTTATGTGATTTATTTATTTTGGCAGCGGGGGTTGGGGGGACAGTCACGGGAAGTTCTAGGGATTGAACCCAGGGATGCTTTAACACGGAGTTATATTCACAGTATTTTTTATTTTTTACTTACTTTATTTATTGAGACAATAAATTGCTGAAGCTGGCCTTGAWCTTTTGATCCTCTAGCCTCAGKCTTCCTAGCTACTGGGATTACAGGCATGTGCCATGTRATTTTTAAAATCCTGTCTTGTGATTCTTAAAATCCACCTGAGGACTGGGGTTGTGGCTCAGCAGTAGWGCACTCGCCTAGCATGTATGAGGTCCTGGGTTCCATCCTTAGTACCACATAAAAAAAATAATAATAATAAATTAAATAAAGGTATTGTGTCCGACTACAACTAAAAAATAAATATTTTTTAAAAAAATCTACCTGGAGCTGGGGTTGTGGCTCAGTGGTAGAGCACTTGTCTAGCCGGTGTGAGGCATTGGGTTCGGTTCTCAGCACCACATATAAGTGAGTGAAACAAAATAAAGGTCCGTCAACATCTAAAAAATATTTTAAAAAATTAAAAAAAAAATCCACCTGAATCTTTTTTTTGATATTTACTAATGGTAAATATCAAAACAAAAAAAAAGTGAAAATCAAGTAACTGGTATTAACGTTTTGATATAGACTTCCAACTATCTGTAATGTGTTTTTTGTTGTTGTTGTAGATGGACACAATATCTTTATTTATTTATTTTTATGTGGTGCTGAGTATTGAACCCAGTGCCTCACATGTGCTAAGCAAGTGCTYTACCACTGAGCTACAACCCCAGCCCCTATAATGTGCTTTTTACATAAATTGAATCATACCACTCACCTTGTTTTACTCAGTGTGTAACGGACATTTCCATAAATATAAGTAGTAATTAGAACTTCTCTTTACTAAGCAATTACATTTTAAAATTTGATATTAAGGAAATAATTAAGGGTATACACAAAGATAGAGCTATAATATGTTTTATAACAAAATAGTAGTGAAGAAATATTGACATTGCAGGGTATTACAGTATATCAGTAGATGAAGAAATTAATAAAATACTCAATATAGATTCAGTTTTGTCTTTAAATTTTGTGTATGTATATGTACACATGTAGATATTAAAAAACTACATATGTAGGAGAGGGAATTTCAGGCAGTTTTATTTATTTATTTGCTTTCTGAGTCCCCCCCCCCCCGCCCCAATATGAATCTGCACTGGGTAAGCATTCAATCATTGAATTACACCTCAACTCTTTAAATCTGAAACAGTTTCACTAAGGTACCCAGGCCATCCTTAAACTTGTGATCCTTCTGCCTCAGCCTCTTAGGTACCTGGGTCAGGTGTGTGTCACCGTGCTGAGCTCCAACTTTCTGAGTTTTCTGTTTTTCTATGAAATTTGAATAAATTATGTCATTGAAATTTTTTTTTTTTTTGGATTAAGCGGGGAAAGGCTTTTTGGAGCCAAAACTAGTAAGATTGAGATTATAAAATGATTTTAATACTAAGGAAATTTCTTTGTAATCCTTAACCATATGCTAACTGAATACTTAAGGGAATTTGTCAGTGAATTATGGTTTCTTCCTGGATAGTGTTCTTTCTAATAGGGAGTTGTCCAATAAATGTATGGTTAATAAGTACCCCTCAGAGATACATTTGTAAATATTAACTATAAATACTTGATTATGTCTTTTTTTTTTTTTTTTTTTAAACAGTCTTACTGTTGCCCAGGCTGATCTCCAACATCTGAGCACTAGTGATGCTCCTATCTTAGCCTCCTAAGTAGCTGAGGCTGTCAATGCCTATCTCCATTCCTGGCTCTGATCTTATCTTTTAAGTTTCAATTCTTTGGTTCTTCCAGATGTCATTATCAGAGGATAATTTTTGGTTTGGGGACAGTGTTGCCGATAGTGTCTCAGTCTTTGTTATTGTAAGCATTATATTATAATGTGTGGGGGCGGGGCGGGTGTTTTTTTGATTTTTAAAGTGTTTTTTTCTCCAGGTGACTAACTTCTGTGAGGATAAAGATTAAGAGATTATGTTTTTTAATCTCGATATTTTTAATTACTAATCTAATACCCAGCCCATATTAAGAGTCCCCAAAATATTTTATAAATATTTTTGGCAACTTAAATGTTTATTAGCAACGAAATCCATTTGAAGAGGGAGGTACTGCATTCCTATTTGAAATCCCAATAAAATGAATAATTCCTCAATATTTTAGGAAATAATCATTTGGTTGAGGTTATTATATCTATCTGAAGTGCAGTGTTATAGTTTTGAGGAACATAGTTTAAAATTATGGATAGCTGTTTATAAAGTTAATTTTATATTTGTGCATCTTATTCCTAACAGATTATTAGCACCATGAACTGGAATAAAGGTGGCCCGGGCACTAAGCGGGGATTTGGTTTCGGAGGTTTTGCCATCAGTGCTGGGAAGAAGGAGGAACCTAAACTCCCACAACAGTCCCATAGTGCCTTTGGGGCAACTAGCTCATCTTCTGGATTTGGGAAGTCAGCTCCACCACAGCTTCCTTCCTTCTACAAAATTGGATCTAAGCGAGCCAACTTTGATGAAGAAAATGCGTAAGTGGTAATTCTTGGTGTTTTAGCAAAGTTTGGGCTTTAAGTTTCTATTCCATTAGCAGAAATTAAGGCAAARAAACTTTGTTTCCCAAGTAATAATGACTTCCTAAATCGGTTATCTCACTGAATTGTATTGTTCCTAGTATATAAATTGTTAAATCTACTTATTTGTAAGGAATATAATGTTTATACCTTTGTTTCATGAATAATGATTTCTCCCTGGCTAGCATTCTAGTGGGCAGTTACACAATAAATGCATGGTTTCAGGGTGGGAGACCATTGAAGCTTAAGTATGATTGAAGAGTTTTATATAATTTGAGTTTTGGTGGTCTTTACTGCACCCTTTTATTAATACCATATAAATCGTTTTGTGAAAACACGATTGTCAGATCTGGTAGAAACGTTATCTTAATATCTAAGTCCTCAAAATCATTATATTGTATCATCTTACAGTGATAGAAAAAATCTACTCAGATTTTCCCTACAGTTTTTTTGTTTTGGGGTACCGGGGATTGAACTCAGGGGCACTGGACCACTGAATCACATCCCCTTTGTATTTTAGAGACAGGGTCTCACTGAGTTGCTCAGTGCCTTGCTGTTGCTGAGGCTGGCTTTGAACTCATGATCCTCCTACCTCAGCCTCCCAAGCTCATCGTGTCTGGCTCCCCACAGTTCTTAGGAAACATATTTATCAATTATAATTTTTACCTTGCTTGTCTAATAAAATGTTGTAAAAAGCTGGAATTTAAGTGTTTGAGCTCTAATTCCTAAGGATAATTTTTCCTGAATTTGAAGAAATTTTGTTTTATTTTTTTACATTTGAAAATGTTTATTAATCATTGATGCATTGATGACAGGTGTAGAGTAAAATGAAAAGAAATTTCTTATGCATTGATGACAGGTGTAGAGTAAAATGAAAAGAAATTTCTTATTACTATTATTTCCATCCTGGTTCTGATGCTGCTTGAGTTTGTTTTGTTTTGATGTACTGGGAATTAAACCCAGGGCCTTGCACATGCTAGGCAAAATGTTTTTCAGCTGAGCTACCTCTTCAGCCATTTTTGTTTATTTTGAGATTGGGTCTCTAAGTTTCCCATGCTGGCCTTATACTTGAGATCCACCTGCCTCAGCCTCCCATGTAGTGCTGGGATTACTGGCATACCTCACTGTTCCCAGCCATAAGTTGTTGTTTTTTTTTTTAATAGTTAGGATTATACTCTAAAATAACGATAAATAGTATGTTGAATGCATGAACCAGTAACATTTTATCATTATTAAGTTTTACTTGCTATACATAAGTGCATGTGCCATACTCTTGTGTTACTGGTAGCACAGTAGGTTTGTTTATACCAGCATTAGCACATCACCACAGACATGTGAGTGATGTTTTGTGTTACAGTATCTGTAGGCATTAGGAAATTTTCAATTCTTTTATAATTTTATGGGACTACCACTATATATATGTGATCTGTTGCTGACCTAAATGTTATTGTGAAATGTATGACTATTAATTAGTATGTACATAATTACTACATTAGTGTACATATATGTGTATATATGTATGTATAGCATAAGTTGTTGGAGCTTTTTAAAATAATTTCTATGAAAACTTGAAATGCTTTAAATTTTTAAGTTGCAGATGTTTGAACTAATATTTGTTAATATATTTTTTTTTAATTTTGAGGTAATGTCTAAACGATGTTTTATTTTAATTTATCAAGATCTATACTGACATCCTTTTCTGGAATGTTTGTTGTAGAAAGAGTGATGGTTTCTCCAGGCTTTGAAGATGTCCTCTCTCAACACTTTCAAGTAGTGTGGTGAATGATTGTGGACTGAGCAATTTTTTGTTACTGGGGATTGAMCTCAGGGCCACTTAACAGCTGAGCCACATCCCCAGCTCTATTTTGTATTTTATTTAGAGACAGGGTCTCACTGAGTTGCTTAGTGCCTTGCTTTTTCTGAGGCTGGCTTTCAACTCACAATCCTCCTGCCTCAGCCTTCTGAGCCACTTCTGTTGGTTCTCGAAAAATAGTCCAGAACTTCTAAAGAAAATCCTTAGACTTTTGAAAATATTTTTAAGTTTTTAAGGATTATAAAGAATATGTTGTTTTTAATATTTCAATCAAAAGGTTTATTTTTTCCTTTTTATCACATACTCTTTAATATTTAACCAATCTTATTCCAATGTAAAATATTTAATTTATATTGGAAATTCATTTCTTTTAACAGAACTGGGGATGTGATTTGAACAGACACTCTTGAAATGGAGTATCTGCCATGACTGTTTTCTTGTAATATTATTAGAATTTTTGCACGTACTTAGTAATACTTAATTAAGTTTTTAAGTCTTAAAGCCATGAAGAGTCGCTTAATTTGACCTGAATAGAGTTTTTTGTTGTTGTTTTCAGACAGGGTTTTGATAAGTTGTTGGTCTTGCTGAGCTGTTGAGGTTGGCTTCAAACTTAAAATCCTCCTATCTTAGCCTCCTAAGCTGCCAGAATTACAGACTTGCAACACCACACCTAGCTAGAAAAAAAATTTTTAATAGTAAGATAGACCATAGTACTCCAACACACACACACAAAGGTTGTATAAAAAGATGTGCCATAATAAAAATTTCCATTAAATGTCAGATTCACTGAACCCAGACTAAATAGTCACTTTACCACTCTACATTTTAATTTTCAGCTATTTTGAAGATGAGGAAGAGGACTCTAGCAATGTTGACTTACCTTACATTCCTGCTGAAAACTCACCTACCCGCCAGCAGTTTCATTCCAAGCCAGCAGATTCTGACAGTGATGATGATCCCTTGGAAGCATTTATGGCTGAAGTGGAGGCAAGTATCAGTTTATTTCTTCATTAAAATATGTAACAGTTAGCTAGGCATTGTGAAACTTACCTGTAATCCCAGCTCTTCAGGAGGCTGAGGCAGGAAGATACAAGTTTGAGGCTAGCCTGGGCAGCTTAACAAGACTATGTCTCAAAAAGTAATAAAAATTGGGAGCCAGGCACAGTGGCCAGTGTTTGCAATCCCAGCAATTCAGGAAGGCAAAGCAGGAAGATTATAAGTTCAAGCCTTGCCCGGGCAACTTTAGTGAGACCTGGTCTCAAAGATTTGGTGTATAGCTGAGTGCTAGAGCAACCCTGTACCACTAAAAAACAAAAACGAATTAAAAATTAATCAGAATTAGTTGACAATTATTAATAATTTTAGTTATTAACAGTAATTAAAAACTAGTTAACAAGGGCTGGGGTTGAGCGCTTGCTCAGTGGTGGAGCGCTTGCCTTGCATGTATGAAGCACTGGGTTTGATTCTCAGCACTGCATAAATATATGAAAAGAATAAAGGTCCATCGACAACTAAAAAATATTTTTTAAAAAGAAAAGAAATAGTTAACAAACCCTGTTCATATTTTGGATTCTGCTTGTTTTATTTGTTTAATTTTACTCTCAACTTCCCTTGCCCCATAATATTTTTTAGTTGTAGATGGACACAATACCTCATTTTATTCATTTATTTATTAAATTTTTAAGTTTGACTATTTTAGGTGTTTGTTTAAGAATCTTAACTCATCTTTCTATTCTTCCAATCTTCTTCTTTTTTTAATTAAATTATTTTTCTGTTATGACAGCAGAATGAAGTTCATTTCATATTACACATAGAACATAATTTTTCAAGTCACTGATTGTACACAAAGTATTTTCACAGCATTCGTGTACTCATTCATGTACTTAGGGTAATGTGTTTAAGTCATTCCACCATCATTCCTACCCCTTTGCCCCCTCCTATCCCCCTCCCTCCCCTTTGTCCTATCTAAAGTTCCTCCATTTCTCCCATGCCCCCTGCCCATCACCATTATGAGTCAGTCATTTTTTAAAATATATTTTTTTAGTTATATGTGAACATAATATCTTTATTTMATTTTTTTTTTTTTTTAATGTGGTCTGAGGATTGAACCCAGTGCYTCACATGTGAGGGGCAAACGCTCTACCAGTGAGCCACAACCCCAGCTATCACTTATTTATTTATTTAGAGAATTTTTTAATATTTATTTTTTAGTTTTCAGCAGACACAACATCTTTGTATGTGGTGCTGAGGATCAAACCCGGGCTGCACGCATGCCAGGCGAGCGTGCTACCTCTTGAGCCACATCCCCAGCCCTATTTATTTATTTATTTATTTTTATGTAGTGCTGAGGATTGAACCTAGTGCTCCAATACTGAGCCACAACCCCAGCCCTGTGTAATCATAGTGTTATTCAATCTAGCACTTATGAAGTACATATTTATGTAAGATAATTAAACTTCCAGCTTAAATTACAAATTTTGTAGTTTTAAATGTTACTTCTTATTAACATTAGTATTAGTATTTATAACCTTCCCATAGGAATTAAAACTTATGACCACTCCCATCTGGAAATTCTTCTCACTAGATTTTTATGATTTTTGCATTTTTTCCTCATCTCTGTGGCTTGCTTGCTTTCTTTCTATTTAGTTGCTTATTTATTTTTTTATTATGGAAAATTTCAGACATATAACATTAGAATAATAAAATGAACTTTTCAAATTTGTCAATTAACTTTTAACCAGTCTTCTGTGATCAAACCCCTCCCTCCTCATGTCATGGTGGTGCACATCTATAGTTCTAGTAACTCAGGAGGATTGCAAGTTTGAGGTCAGCCTCAGCAACTTAGCAAGGACCTAAGCAATTTAATAAGAACCTATCTGAAAATAAAGGATTAGGGATGTGGCTCAGTGATTATGTGCCCATGGGTTCAATCTCCAGTACACAAAACAAATACAAAAACCCTCCCTCCTCAAAACCTGTTTTGGGTAGTTTTAAAGTAAATTCAAGACACATAATTTCATCTGTCAGTATTTCTGTATGTATAAGATGACAAAATCCTTAAATATATATTTATGATCTTTCTTCTTATGATCCTCTCTCAGTTCCTCAAATATAGAGGCCCTTTAGTGTTCTCTACATTAATTTACTGTCTGTCTCTTTTTTTTTTTTTTTTGCTTTCATTACTGGGGATTCAACTCTTGGCCTCATGCATTCTAGCCAAGCACTCTACACACTGCCTTACTCTTTATACATTTGTTAGTTACCTTATCCACTCATAAAACTTAACTTCTGTGTGCATAATTCACGTCTTTAATCCCATGCTTTGTTTTGTTTTGTTTTTTTTTTTTTTTCAGTTTTAACCCTACTTTTCTGGAAGCATATTGACCATTTTTACCTGGGCATGTCCCAGTGCCACCTTAAACCCAGTTCATTATCTTTTCCTCTTTAACTAGTTCACTGTCTTGTCTTATTCCTATTACTAGCACCAGTACTCATACAATATAAAACCTTGTTTTAGCATCTTTCTTTCACTTGTCCCCACCCACTTTTTTTTAAAAGCAGATTTTCAAGCATATATATTTCTTGTTTGGGGGGGTATTGGTACCCAGGGGCACTTAACTGAGCTACAACCCCATCTCCTGATCTTTTATTTTTTATTTTGAGTTGCTAGGGCCTTGCTAAATTGCTAAGGTTGACCTCACACTTGATATCCTCCTGCCTCAACCTTCCAGGTTGCTGGGATTATAGGTGTGCGCCACTGAGCTCAGCTTCAAACATATTCTTACTATAAACTATAGGACATAGAAAAAAATGTATATATAATTTTTAACATCAGACAACTGAGCCCTATGATAGTATTTACTCATTTGTGTATGTGTATGATGCTAGGGATTGAGTCCAGCACCTCATGCATGCTAGGCCAAGCCCTAATATAATTTATATAGCCTGCCTTGCATCATACTGACAATATTTGGATAGCAGGAACTCAAATCTAATTTTTCTTGCATTAGTAGTCCAAGAGCATAACTTTTTCCAGTATGTAACACTGCCCTTCTTCATTTACTAAGTGGGTTGATCTTCACAGTGTCCCTTGCATCTTTTCATTCCTTTCTGTTTTCACCATTATTTATTCTACTCTATACTCTATTTAACTGTTGTCTGATTTAAATATTTTCTCTCCTTCAGACTGTCCCCTCTCCTGTTTATGTGGTCTATAGCTACAAGTTGATGAGACCAAATCACATTTCTTATTAATTCCTTTTATTTAAAATCTCTCCTTCGTTGCTTATGAAATAACATTCTCCCAGATTCCTAATTTGTCTCCAGTCAGAATTCATCTCTTCTCTAAGAAAAGAGGGAACGGATACAATATGGACGTGTTTTAATTTGATCTAGATGTTGTTTGTAAAAATAAGAGCCACCATTTTTAAAGTCAGGGAATTTTGTCTTAATTTTCAGGCTCCATGAAGTGGAATAGCTAGCAATACTAAGCCTGCTTTCTTGTGTGGCAAAAATAAGCTATTGCTGAGTAAGTGGCTCTCTACTTTATAGACAAGGCATGCATTTTCCTTGTTCACATCAATCCCTGTTTTCTTGATGTTTATCAAAACACTTGCTTTATAATTTTTCTTTTGGTAGAGGAATATTTTTCCAAATTCAGTTCAGTTACATAATCAGAAATAAAAAGACTGAGGGCGATTCAAGAAAAATTAGCATGCTTCTTGAGAAGATTATTCCTGTTTACTGGAATGCAAGAAAAGTATGTTTATGTGGCAAAAGAATACAACTTTTTATTTTTTAACATTTATTTTTTAGTTGTAGGTGGACACAATACCTTTCTTTTATTTTTATGTGGTGCTGAGGATCGAACCCAGTGACTCATGCATGCTAARCAAGAGCTCTACCTCTGAGCCACAACCCTGGCCCCAGAATACAGCTTTTCTTTTCTTTTTTTTTTTTTAAAGAGAGAGTGAGAGAGGAGAGAGAGAGAGAATTTTTAATATTTATTTTTTTAGTTCTCGGCGGACACAACATCTTTGTTGGTATGTGGTGCTGAGGATCGAACCCGGGCCACACGCATGCCAGGCGAGCGCGCTACCGCTTGAGCCACATCCCCAGCCCAATATACAGCTTTTCTTATCGTMGCTTTATTCATTTATTACCAGCTTGGCACCCATTAGATATTTGAGTTTCTCACCTTTGATTTAGTCCAGTTCAAGTACTTGTTGAAAGTATGTACCTAAAAGGAGACAGGGCCAGAATTCACCTCTAGCTCTCAAATTCTTCATGTTGTTTTATTCTTTATCTGAGTTCTAGCACTGTGTATTTCTGCCACATGAACTATTCAGGACATTCTCATATGCTTCCCAAAATTATTCAGGACATACATGTACCTTACAATGTAATAGGTATTTAAGTAAATATGTTAAATGATTCATTCTGAAAGTAAAGACCAAAAATGATTTGCAGTGTTTGAGATGTCTTGAACCTATTGTGTTTTCTTCCTCTTCTTGAGATGTGTATGTTTCCTAAGAGCTGTGTTTTCAAGAGAACCTTGTCATTGTTTCTTGAAATCCCTAGTTGATGGATTAAAAGAAACATCAGTTCCTGATTTTCTAGGTTTAAATTTAGATTTAAATTATAGTAGTGGCAGCTGACATAGCCCCTTTTGAATGAAAGTAAACAAGAACATCCCAAATTCTCCTGCTTGGCATTTAAATAGTTGAAGTTGTTTGGAGGTTAAATCTTTTTTGGTACAGTTATCATTTCTCCTGGGTATCTTTTTGGTGTGTGGTATCAAGGAGTTTTGCTTGTTTTAGAGATTGAATGTTATCTGATCTAGAAGAACATGTTGATGCCTAAGTGGTTGTTTTTTTTTGTTTTGTTTTTTGATACTGGAAATTGAGCCCAGGAATGCTTTACCACTGAGCTATATATCTAGTCTTATTTTTTATTTTAAGAACATAGTCTCACTGAGTTGCCCAGGCTGGTCTGACTTACTGTTGTCCTGCCTCAGCCTCCTGAGTTGCTGGGATTACACCTGGCTGTTTGCATTAATTCTTTTTTTTTAGTTGTGACAGACCAAATATTTTTATTTTATTTGTTTATTTTTATGTGGTGCTAAGGATTAAACCTAGTGCCTCATGTGCTAGGCAAGCACTCTTGTCACTGAGCAACAGCCCCAGCCCTGATTGTGTTGTTTATTTCACATGTCGGTTTTTCTAAAAAGTCTAAACTTTTCTAGTACTTAAACTAGATGATTTATTCTTAGGTAGTGTTCTAAAGAAAGATTTAGTCTAAAAAAAACAGTCCTTCAAGTGTTGTGATCTGATCTATTTAATGTGTTACATTGTATCCTGTTTAATTTATAATAATATGTATATCTTGTATCTGACARCTTTCAATTCCTTGAAAAGTAGATTGTGTTTAATACTTTTTTAAAAAATAATTACTCTCTATTGGGAACATTTGACTTAGCAGAACATCTAACCATGCCATTATGTACATAGTGACATTTTTAAAAATCAAAGATAAAAAAATTTACATTGCTTTATGACAAACAGTTGTGCAGAATATGTATAACCTTAGGAAATCATGTAAATCTTTTGATATTGATTTCAAATGTATAAAACAAAGGAACTATGTAGTAGTGCATGTCAGTTTACTGTGCATAAGAATTGGCTAAGGAAAATGAAAAAAAACTACACATTTAACTCCATCCCCAGGAATTCTGATGTTGTAGGTCTAGAACAGAGTTTTCAACTACAGAATTATTAGTGTTTGGGGTTGAATATTTTTCTTATGACTGTTATTCTGTATATTGGAGAATGTTTAACTGCATCTCTGGACTTTGCCAACGTGTAACACCACCTCCCTCGCTCCCCAAGTTTTGATAACCAGAAGTATCACCAGACCCTACCAAATGTCAAACCCAGGTTTAGTACCCCTTTCCAAATGGTTCTCAGATCCAGAAAATTGTATTTTTTTACCAGGCCTACTGGTAACTAACATAAGTGGTCTCAATTTACACTTGGAGAAATCCTGATTTGCCTGAATTTTAGCYCCTTTAAAGCCGTAGTTAAATCATTAACTTAAAAAAAAGTGACCCATTGTTATATGTTTGTGAGTCAAGTGTTTTTGTTAATTTTTCTGTTCAAGGTAGAAGTATATATATATATTACAGATTAAAAAATTTTCAGTCTAGCTGGGTGTGGTGGCTACTTGGAAGGCTGAGTCAGGAAGATCACAAGTTTGAGGCCAGCCTGCAGAACTTAACAAGACCCTGTCTCAAAAAAAAAAAAAAAAAATGAAAAGGGCTAGATACCCAGCTTGATGATAGTACTTGCCCAGCATGTGTGAGACCCTTTGTTTAATCCCCAGTACTCCCAAAATAATAATATAATATTGAAACAAAAATCACACAGTCCATGTAGAGCCAAGATTTTAGAATATTTGGATTTTTCTTTCAAAAATAATTATCAAAAGTGGACTTTGATTATAYCAAAATGCAGTTGTCAGAAAATAACTAGGGATGGGGTTGTTGTTCAGCAGTAGAGCACTTGCCTAGCATGTGTGAGGCACTGGGCACTGGGTTTTAAGCACAACTTAAAAAATAAATAAATAAAACAAAATAAAGGTATTGTGTCCATCTACAACTGAATTTTTTAAAAAAATAACTAAAGCTATGACAATAGTTGTTCCAATCTGAATTCTTTTGTTTGTTTTTTTATTTTTATATGGTGCTGAGGATCGAACCCAGTGCCTCACACATGCTAGGCGAGCGCTCTATCACTGAGCCACAACCCCAGTCCCCCAATCTGAATTCTTTATAAAAAAAATATTTCCCAGGCTAGGGTTGTGACTCAGCGGTAGGGCGCTCGCCTCGCACCCTGGATTCGATCCTCAGCACCACATAAAAGTAAATAAGTAAAATAAAGGTATTGTGCCCAACTACAACTAAAAATATATATATATTTTTAAAATTTCCCTTTCAGTGTTTTTAGTTATTGTGATTACCTATGATCTTTTGTTTCATTAGGATCAGGCAGCTAGAGACATGAAGAGGCTTGAAGAAAAGGACAAGGAAAGAAAAAACGTAAAGTAAGTTGTTTTCTTCTCCCTTACCATGGTTACTTGAAAATTACTAAAGTACTGCTAGGTCTACCTTCCCAAAGTTTATAGAGGGAAAAAAAAAAGTATATAAATATCTTTACTTAGTCTTGGGTTGTASCTCAGTGGTAGACTACGCACTTGCCTAGCATGTGTGAGGCACTGGGTTCGATCCTCAGCACCAGATAAAAATAAATAAATAAAATAAAGGTCCATCAACAAATWAAAAAATTTTTTAAAAATAAATATCTTTACTTGAACATATTCCTATATTTTGAGTATTTTTATAGGTATAGAGATGGCAAAAAATCTTTGCGTTTCCAATAATTAAGAGGTATTCTGTTTGAAAGAATAGCATTTGGTCTTCAACTTATAAATAATTGTGGTAAACATAAGAAATAAATTACAGTGGGGTTTAGGAGAACATAATTACTGAAGTTTTGGTTCATTCTTTTGAGTTTTGTCCCATAATTAGTATAAAATAATCATGAGGGCTGTAGTTGTAGCTCAGTGGTAGAGTGCTTACCTAGCATGTGTGAGGCACTGGGTTCGATCCTCAGCACAACATTAAAAAATAAATAAATAAAATAAAGGCATTGGGTCCATTTACAACTGAAGTGACATCATGCTTTAGTAACCATAGTCAGAACTTGAATACTTTATTTCCTGGGAAAGAAGAAACTTCTCTTTCCCTTGCTATAATATATTCCTAAGGCTTTTTCTGTCAGACATGGTTGGATTTTTCTCTCTATTTGCTTTGCCAGTCAGTGGTTCAACCTCTTCCCAGAGCTCCTGTGCCATGTGGAGGTTCAGCCCTCTTTGGGTGTTCATGATGTATTGCATTCTCTTCCAGCTGCCCTAGCCTGGTGATGTTGCTTTGCTAGTTGCCTTAGGAATACAAAGTGTTATAGATAGGCAGAAAGTCTGATTAGAACGAGATGGTGGTAGGGGCTGGGGTTGTGGCTCAGTGGTAGAGTGATTGCCTAGCATGTGTGGGACACTGGGTTCGATTCTCAGTACTGCTTATAARTAAATGAATAAAATAAAGGTCCATCAACATATATATATGGTTGTGGATGGGCTGGGAGTATAACTCTGTAGCAGAGCTTTTGCCTAGCATGCACAGGGCCCCCAGTTTGATGCTCAGTTACCCCGCCTCCCCCCCACACACACACACAATTCTTTGAGGAAATAGTTGGATATGGGAACTAAACAACCATATTTTGTGTAACTGCAAGAAATGCAGCAACTGGCAGTAGTTCCCTTCTCTATATGAACTGCTTAGGAGATTTAGTTCCTCTCCCCCATCCACAAGGTAAATGATTTGGGCTCAAAAGTTTATTCTAGAGCTAGAAACACTGAGAGACAGTAAGAAATTTGTGACATTCTTCCTACTATTTACTAAATGCAGGCTTTTTATATAGTATGAAATATTTTTCACAGCTGCGTTGTGTTTGTTTTATGGGTTGCCAAAGTTAGGATCCTTTGGTGTCTACAGAAAGTTTTTACTTCTTAYACTCATATTAGTAATTGATATTTCTAGGGATACCATGTCATCCCATTCAAAAGAAATGCCAAGTGTAGCAAACCACACATATTTGATGGGTGGATAGTTTACAGTGTGCTCATTGCTGCTTTGTTATTGTTAGTGTTGAGAGTTCCTGTTCTGCATGGAATCCAACACTAATTTACTGTAAGTATGGAGCTGGGTATGTGGAACATTTGCAGGGAAGTTTGTTTCTCCGCTTGTTTTTCCAGGGGTATTCGAGATGACATTGAAGAGGAAGATGACCAAGTGAGTTCCTATGCAGTATTTCTATCTTTTATTTTTACCCCACAAAGTCTGTACTGGGAACAAGCTAGAATTTGCCTTTACTGAAATGGCCATTCCTTACATTGAGCAGGGAATGTCATTTGACTTGCTTCTTTTCTACCTCTGTGATCAATTGGTAATATACCATAAAGATTCACATGACTGTTCCCAATTTTGAAGATGGAACTTTTGATCAGCTGACATCAAAAACAAACATGAGCTTCATTCAGCTTTCTTTCTTTAAATCTAAAATTAAAGTTTATTTTGATAAATCAATAATAGTATAGGAACTATTGATGGCCTTTAGAATATCTAACCTCTAAGGGTTCTGTTTGATTCTTATATTTGAAAATGGAACATTAATGACTGTCCATTAGTATTTCTTTTTTCCATTGTTGAGTTTTAGGGTGGTGAGAACCAGGGTAAGCAGTAGCCCTTTCCAGGTTTGTGACCTTTCTGATCAGTGTTTACTTCCAAACTTGGATTGGTAAAGCTCCAACATGTGTTCTATAACTCTGGACAGTTAGATAGACACCCCACCCCAGGAAGACTATAGAATAGACAGATTTGTAAATATTCTGCTAGACAAATTATTTTGTAGTACTAATTGCTTTGTTCATTTCTTATGATTCTTCTCCTAAATACTGCTATTATAAAAGGATTATTACCAGTAAAAGTCTTGTCTTATTTGGTAGGTATTTAAACTGTGCAGTCTTCTGGTACAGTGTGCACTCATTATTGGAAAAGAAACATTTTTCAATTGTACTTGGGTGTGATTATGTCCTTGTGCTTTCCTGCAGGAAGCTTATTTTCGATACATGGCAGAAAACCCAACTGCCGGTGTGGTTCAGGAGGAAGAAGAAGACAATCTGGAATATGATAGTGATGGGAATCCAATCGCACCTTCCAAAAAAATAATCGATCCTCTTCCACCCATTGATCATTCAGAGGTATGGTGTTTCTTGCTGAATTTATTATTATTTCAAAAGGATACAGTTTTCTTTAATTTTAATATTTAGGTTTTCCCAATATCTGAATACTCTAATGCCTTGARAATTTTTGTACTTGGGGATCTTTTCTCCCTGTTGAGGCTTTCACAGTCTGTGGTGTTACCAAAAGGTATARCTGAATCACTTGCTCTCGTTTAATTTTAGAATTTTAAGAGTTTTTTTTCCAAGCAACTGTATTTGTTTTCCAGAAACAGTGCTTAACTATCTTCCTTTCAAATGGGCCTTGGGTCTTCATTTTTTTTTTTTTTTTAGTTGCTATAAATATTATTGCTCCCTAATAGGCAGATCAGAGCCTATTTATTCAAAGTAGAGCCAGGAATTATGAGTTCCATAAGTCAAAAAAAGGAAAAGAGACTGTCATTGTACTTGAAAAAATATCAGTGCTTTTTCCAAGTTAAATATCAGATAGAATTTGCATATCCTAGTGACTAGATCTAGAGCAATGGTTCTCAGAATATGGTCCTAGGACCCCTGAAAGAGCCATTTCAGAGTCTATAAAAGTCAAAAAAATTTTTTTGATACTAAGAATTTGTCTTTTTCTTTGTATCAGCATTTGTACTGATAGTATAAAAGCAGTATAGGTAAAACTATTGCCACCTTAGTATGGATTAAGATAATGGCACCAAACTGCTCCAGTAGTCATTATATTATTCCCTACAAGACCATTGCGATTTATATATTTATTTATTTTTTAGTTGTAGTTGCACACAATACCTTTATTTATATGTGGTGATGAGGATTGAACCCAGGGTCTCACACATGCTAGGTGAGCACTCTACCGCTGAGCTACAACCCCAGCCCCAAGACCACTGCAATTTAAAAACGGGGTGGGGGAGGTGCCTGGTATGGTCGCTCAGTGGTAGCGCGCTCAGTGGTAGCGCGCTCACCTGGTAAGCGCGGGGCCCTAGGTTTGATCCTCAGCACCACATACAATCAAATAAAAGTATTGTGTCCAACTACAACTAAAAAATAAATATTTTTTAAAAGGGGGGCGGAGTTCATCTAAGAATACCCTTATGGAACAGATTAAATCTGACCCTTGAATTACATGTCTTTTTATTTTTTGGTATTAGGGATTGAACCAAGGGGCACATAACCATTGAGCCACATCTCCAGCCTTTTTATTTTTTATTTTGAGATAGGATTTCACCAAGTTGCTTAGAACCTCACTAAATTACTGGGCTGGCTTTGAACTTGAGAATCCTGTCTGAGCCTCCCAGGTCAATGGGATTACAGGCATGCACCACCGTACCCACGAGTTAAAGGTCTTTTTTTATTCTGTGTGTCCAAAAGGGAAGAACACATAAAATATTTCTATTGGCATACCAAAATATGATAGTTGACTCCAGGAAAAGCATTTACATGTTTGAATTGTAGCCTGAACTAGCTGTTTTATTTCCGTGGAACATTATTTGTAACTGAGAAAATGAATGATACCTCAAGGAAAATAATTATGTTTATTACCAGTGCTAGAAATTAAAACTTTCAAACAAAAATTAGAATTTGGAAACTTACATTTACCATAGTGAGCTCAACAGTTTCTTAAGACTGTGGTGATAAAATTGATGATGACATTAATGAATATGAATTTTAAAATTCATAATGAGCTGTGTCAGCATTTAGATGATCTGCATACTATCTTAATGAACCAATATTTTCCATGTGATCACTATTATAAAATCATCAGAGTCCATCAAAATACTGTCATGAGCAATGTCTTTTTTTTTTTTTTTTTTTACACACCTAGGAATGGTTTACCTTTTAAGCTACACCATAGCGTTTTGTTTTGTTTTTGAGACAGGGTCTCTCTGAGTTGCTGAGGCTGGCCTTGAACTTGTGATCTTTCTGCCTCAGCCTCACTGAATTGCTGGGGCTACAGGGAACACCAACATGCTGCCTAGACCAATGACTTTTAATGTAATTAGTATAAAAAGTTCAGTGATTTGGTATCAGATTACACAATGAAAATAACCTTTAAGAAGTGACCACTAGTGGGCTGGAGTTGTGGCTCAGTGACAGAGCGCTTGCTTAGCAAATGTGAGGCACTGGGTTCAATTCTCAGCACCACATATAAATAAATAAAAAATAAAGGTTCATCAACAAATTAAAAAAAAAAAGTGACCACTAGTCAAGTTTTAGTGTGGTATCAAACAAGAATAGAAGCTGGGCATGCTGGCACACACCTATGATCCTAGCTGTTGTGGAAGCTGAGGCAGGATCAGGAGTTTAAAGCCAGTCTCCACAACTTTTCTAGGACCTAAGCAACTTGGCAAGAGCCCGTCTATAAATAAAATATTAAAAAGGGCTGGGGTTGTAGCTCAGTGATTAAGCATCCCTGGGTTCCATCCCTGATACCAAAAAAATATATATTTTTTGCTTAAAAAATATATTATAAATAATTTGTTGGTAGAGAATCATTTAGGCAAATTCTGTTGAACAAAGGGATGCTTTATTACTGAGCTACATCTCCAGCCCCTTTAAAATTATGAGACAGATTCTCACTAAATTGTCCAGGCTGATTTGCAAGTCTGTGATTACAGGTTTGTGCCACCATGCCCAGTTAGCCAAATTTTCATGTGGTTGGTATGCTTATGTTTTGTATCCTAAAGTAATCTATGAAATGAGCAGCAGAAATGACTGCTGCTCTCTTTGGAATTAAAAATGTTTAACTGATTTTTGTTTGTTTGTTTAATCTTGCTAGGGATTTAACCCAAGAGTACTTAACCACTGAGCCACATCCCCACCCCTTTTTATTCTTAATTTTGAGATAAGATCTCACTAAGTTGCTGAGGCTGACTTTGAATTTATGATCATCTTGCCTCCACCTTCCAAGTTGGTGGGATTACAGGTTTGCTCCACTGTAGCTGGCATTACAGGCAATTCAAGCAATTCCTTGTTTTTAAACAGAGTAGAGTGCCCTCTAATGGCTAAAGCTTTTCTCTTAATTATTAGCAGTGTTTCTAAATGCCTAGAACTAGGTGAACAACTTAATCCAAAACATATTTAAATGTTAGAGTGAACTATCATCCTTAAAATACTTGTTTTCTCAGGACTTTGGCATTGTAGAAATTCTGTGTTCTGCTTCTAGGTTGTTCAAATCTGAGTTGTCACTAGGAATATTAGTTTATACCTGTAATCTTGTATCTTTGTGTTGGGTGTGGGGGGTGCTGAGGCAGGAGGTTCACCAGATCAAGGCCAGCCTCTGCAACTTAGACCCTGTCTCAAAATAAAAAGGACTGGGGTAAAGCTCCCTTGGGTTCAATCCCCAGTACCCAAAAAAAAAAAAAAATCTGAGGTGGTGTTAAATGATGGTCTCTTTGGGAAGGAGATTGATATTTATAAGAAAAGACAGAGGCTGTACTTTCTGGAATGTGTGTCAAGAATAAATGAATTCCTTTGTTCTTTCTAGCAAGAAGGGGATTATTTGTGTAATATTTGTAAAAGATTATTTTGCATTAAAATCAAACTTACAGGATTGACTCTTGAATTCTAGACTAACTTTGAATAATTGGACCTGCAGATTGACTACCCACCATTTGAAAAAAATTTTTACAATGAGCATGAGGAGATAACCAACCTCACTCCACAACAGTTAATAGATCTCCGGCATAAGCTCAATCTTCGGGTAAGACACTCATTTATCAAGTATTTTTATGTTAATGATAGTTAGTCTAGGTTTGTATTCTTGCTTTTTCAAACTAATAACCTTGGAATTTTTTTTCTAATGGTCTCTGAACTGCCTTTGCTAGAATAATAATTATATCCATTGGGCTTACTTGATTTGATTGTTTTAGTCCTCCAGATGACCTTTTAGGATAGGACATTTTTTTCTTTCATGTATTCAGTCAACTTTATATGTACTGTCCTGTGTGGTATATCAAAGAATGATTAGAAAGCCTCCTCTTTAGGAAGAGGAAACAGGATTGCTAGATGTGAATAACATGAAGTCTTAGAATATTTTGAAATTATGATACACTTTTTAAGTCACATTGTGTACCTTTTTTAAAAAGAAGAAATGAAGGGGCTGGGATTGTGGCTCAACGGTAGAGCACTCACCTAGCACGGCGGGGCATGGGTTCGATCCTCAGCACCACATAAAAATAAAGGTACTTGTGTTGTGTCCATCTACACCTAAAAAATAAATATTTAAAAAAAAAAAGAAGAAAAAATGAAGACCTTGTAAAAATACATATGCACTACTTTCAGAATGAGATGGTTTTAATTGCTTACCAAAATGTTTTGGGTTGCTCATTGGCTATATTGTTTAGAGTCCTTCTCATGTTAGTTAATGAAACTTAATACACTCATCTACTTTGATGTGAATAACTTTCCAGTTCCTCTGCCTTATTGGTTGCTACATGAAAACTCCTGCTTTTCAAGAGGTGTATGTATGTGCTTGCGTGCATGCACATGTGTGCGTATGCACATTTTTTTGTGCTTATTTTCCCAGAGATTAACAATCCTCCATAAAATCTTTTTTTTTTTTGAATACTTATTTTTTAGTTGTAGTTGGACATAATACCTTTATTTATTTTCACGTGGTGCTGAGGATCGAACCCAGGGCCTCTCACACGTGCTAGGCAAGTGCTCTACCACTGAGCCACAACCCCAGCCCTCCATAAAATTTTTAATGAAATCCTTTTTGAAAATGTCAGCATCACTGGGGAAGCATTGAAAGGTTACCACTTTTGGAGACAAAATAGAGATAATAAACCCTGTTCTTGACCTGGGCATAGTTGTAACAGAGCTTGATAGTGGCCAAAACATCACTAGGGGATACAGTAACTCTTCTGGCAATATTTTTTGTAACCAGTGGGTATTGACTTGCCTTAATCTGAGTTTATATGCAATTTTTGTTTTGAGTAAATTTTATTGTTTTTTTCCTCCTACCTGATTAATATTTATGCAAAACTAGAAAWTTTTTTTTTTTTTTTTACAATTCATTGAATGGGTTTTTGTTTTATTTTGTTTGAGATAATTTTTATTTAAAAGATTTTTAGGTACTTAGTCATTTAAAACCAAGTGACAGTTATCTCRGGAGTTGTTGATATGAAATCCTCATATTATTTAAGGTTTTGCCTTTTCAATGCATACTTTTGGCTACAGATTTATGTTATCACTTTTTCATACTYGAGCTAAATGTTAGATCCAGGTAAGTGTTGTTGAACTTCAAATACTATTTATATTGTTGTACAAGTCATTCCTGGAAGTTGTCTCTATCTCTAGGTTTCTGGTGCTGCACCTCCTAGACCAGGAAGTAGTTTTGCTCATTTTGGATTTGATGAACAACTTATGCATCAGATTCGAAAATCTGAGTACACACAGCCCACTCCAATACAATGTCAGGTAAGTAAACATAATGAAAGAAAAATGAAGAAGAATGATATTTAGTAACTATATTTAGTTGACAACAAAGTCAAAACAGTAAAAGAATGTTTATTGACATGRGTAGATGGTACAAATACTTTTTCTGACTTTGTCTTTAATTTTTCCTCTAATTAAAAGGGGTTGTGGGACATAAATAAAATCCAAGAGGATTTTTAAAACTTTTAAAAATTAAAGAACAAGTGTGAATTATTCACCCCTCTAGGAAATTTTAAGTGGCTAAGAAATGTTCTTTTATATCTGATAAATACCTTGAAAACATGATATGAAGAAAATAATCAGTTCTACCTTAACAAAAAAAGATTTGTGGGTGGACTGGAGTCGTGGCTCAGTTGGTAGAGCACTTGCCTAGCATGTGGGAGGCACTAGGTTCGATTCTCAGCACCACATATAAGTAAATAAATAAAGGTCAATCAACAACTAAAAAAAAAAAAAAAAAAAAAAAAAAAGATTTGTGCATGGACAACTTGAGTACTAACAATGATTAGAATTGCTTTGTCCATTAGTTGAAAATTCTCATTTATTACTGAAAGATAATAGCTTCTGTTTCCCATTCATATATGTGATTTACTTATTCCTAAACAACTGTCTGTACCTTCTAAAGGGGAGAACATTTTTTAAAATTTGAGCAGCTACTTCCATTATGAATTGCAATTTTGTATTTCTGCATGTCAAACAAAATGGAGTCCGTTATATTCCATAAATGGTAACTGAGCCACATGAAGAAAATGATGATTTTTTCCAATAAATCAAGAAGCTTGTGGGAATATCAGACTTTTTTCACTGTTTGCAGTCAGTATGCATAGCCCAGGATATTTTTGTTTCTTTGGAAATAAATGTCATTAATGATCATTTGTCCTTTTTAAGGATTTCCTTCAGTTCATCTTTAAAATAGAAATTTTAGAGTGGACATACTTTACTTTTTCTCCAGGGTGTGCCTGTTGCATTAAGTGGTAGAGACATGATTGGTATTGCCAAAACAGGCAGTGGAAAAACTGCAGCCTTTATCTGGCCCATGTTGATTCATATAATGGACCAGAAGGAATTGGAACCAGGTGATGGACCAATTGCAGTGATTGTGTGTCCTACTAGGGAGCTTTGTCAGCAGGTATGTGCTTTGTATAGAATGCCTCCTTCCCAAAGTGGATTAGCAAAAGACTACCCAGTCAAGTGGATAGAATAACCAGGAAACTTTTTTTTTAAATTATGACAAGTATACACAAAATTAACCATTTTAGGAATATTTTAAGTGTACAATTTGGTGGCATTAAACACGTTCATACTGTTGTGCTACAAGTAGATACACCCTTTTCTACTGTTTTTAGAGGGGAAAAAGATATTACAATATGGGAATTGTTTGTATTCCAAGCTCACAATAAGTGTATTCATTTTTCTTGATAGAAAGGCAATTACAGAATCAGGAAGAAAAGTTAATTTAAAAAAAGAATAATCAAGGCAAGATTTTAGACAGCTTGATTTTATGAATAAAATTTTAAGCCATGTTTCAAGTTTTCATTTTCTTTATTACATTCTGTGTTTTTCAGAACTCCCTCTTGGGTTGTGATAGAGGTATTTATTAGTGTCACAGTTTGTTAATATGTTATTAACAACTTTGTAGATCCATGCAGAATGTAAGCGGTTTGGGAAAGCATATAATCTTCGATCAGTGGCTGTGTATGGAGGAGGGAGCATGTGGGAGCAAGCCAAGGCCCTTCAGGAAGGGGCAGAGATTGTTGTGTGTACCCCAGTAAGTATATCATGTGTAAATGGCTTCTCGGCCTCTCTTCGTATGGAAAGCATGGTTAGTTTTAAAGGGAATTCTCCCCCAAATTGTGGTAAAGCAGGGTTGAGACTATCCTGATGAATGACAGCCTCTGGTTTTGGTTTAATTTTGATTGGTTGACTAAAACAGCAATCCATTAGGAATATCTGTAACATACAAATTAGCAGCTACAAGTTTCTCTCTATTTCAAATAGTTTTTCTTATGCTCTCCTAGGAAGTGGATCGTAGTGACTAAGATCTTCAAGAGTCAGAAAGATACTCAGAACTGCCTAGAGGATTGTGATTTAAACATTAAAACCCATCAATAAGGCTTTAAATCAGATAATTTCCAACTATCTTACAAAAATTGTTCTGGCCACAAAATATAAACTACATTTAGGTAAAGGAAGATTCTAATTGAGTTTTCAAAATGTCTGCCCTCTTGAACTATATAGTACATAAAGTTCCAGGCTGTCAGACTATATTATCTATTATTATTTAAGACTTTTGCCAGGCATGCAGTTTGGGAAAGTTCTTGGGTCTGTAATTATATTTATTATTCACTTTGTGCATTTTATAGGGTCGACTGATTGATCATGTGAAGAAGAAAGCTACTAATCTTCAAAGAGTCTCTTACCTTGTATTTGATGAAGCAGATCGAATGTTTGATATGGGATTTGGTATGCCTTGAATACCAGTTTCTTCTCTCTATCCTCATACTAGTTTTTTCCATTTTTCTAGATTTAGCCAATGATTTTCAGCATAAGAGAATCTAAAAATACTCCTTGATTGGATTAGATTATAGAGCTATAAGAGATAAACTGTTTTTTAGAGTTTTCTCAGGAAAAGTATGTTAGTCTTGATTGGGTGAAGGAAATTTGAAAGCAGCTTTGTATAGGGAGGAATATTTTCCATTATTTTTATTCATGTGCTGTTGATGTGGAAGTCAAGGTCTGTATTCTTGGGTAAGTGAATATCAAGTCCTTTGTTTTCCTATCCTTGATTTTTCTGACAGTGTAAACTTCTAAATAACCATCTTTGCTAATTGATATACCATGTAGCTCAGCTTCATGGAGGGAGAGTTTTTTGGAGTTTCATACTGAATGATATGGCAAAGAGTTTCAGTTTCTTAATTCTTACAACTTCTCATGAGGATTTTACTAAAATGACTTTTCGGGCCTCCTGAAATGTATTACAGGGTTATAATATTAACTTTACTGTTGTTCTTCCAGAGTACCAGGTTCGATCCATAGCAAGTCATGTTCGTCCTGACAGACAGAGTATGTATGAAGCAGCTTTATCATAAATCACATTTATACTTAGAATGAACACCTATTTTTATAGACATAGTTATGGAAGCAAAACCAATCATTTGTATACTGATTCAAGTCACAGAGCAATAATGACCATTTATCTGAGCTGACAGAACCTTAGCAGTTGTAGGCTATAACTACCCATTTTCTTCGATGATAAAACCAAGATTCAGAAATTGAATGACTTGTCCTAGCTTGCACAGTATTATCAGTGAGTAGAAATTGCATAATATAGATCTGATTTGAAATCAGAAGCCTTTTTTCCTCAATCATAGTGACATTTCTTGATTGAAAAATGTAATAAAAAGTAAAATAAAGGAAAATCTTTTTTCTTTATTGAATCAGTTTCTAACTAAAAGTTAAGATGGATTTATGGTTTTTTGTTTGTTTTTGTTTTTTAAACAAAAAAACTGATTCTGGGTTTTTTGGTTTGGTTTGATTTTGTTTTATTAGTTACTGGGGATTGAGTCCAGGGATGGCTTGACCACTGAATCACTTCCCAGCCTTTTTAAATATTTTATTTAGAAACAGCATCTCACTGAATTGTTTAGGGCCTTGCTAAGTTGATGGGGCTGGCTTTGAACTCACTATCCTCCTGCCTTAGCCTCCCGAGCCACTGAGATTATAGGCATGTGCTGCTCCACCTGGCAAAGCTGAGTAATTCTGAATGTTAAGGAAGCTTAGTGGGTGTTCAGTAAAATAGTACTGTTTCTTTAACAGAATTTACTTTACTTTTTAGCTCTCTTATTCAGTGCAACTTTTCGGAAAAAGATTGAAAAACTGGCGAGAGATATCCTAATTGACCCTATTCGAGTGGTGCARGGAGATATTGGAGAGGTAACCTTAAGCAAGGCTGGATGGGACTCCAGTGGGTTATTTCTTATATTATGGAGACATAAAATTGATTCTTCACTATGGAGATTTTGAAAATTAATGCATATTTATAGATGAGGCAACATGTTTTAGATTTGCTTTAAAATACATAAAGTAGTAGTTGAAATAAGATTGGCAAAGTGTTGATAATTGTTGAAGAAGCTCAGTGACAGGTACATGGGAGTTGATTCTGTTCATTTTGCTTTTTTTGAATGTTTAAAAAATTCATAATAACGGCTGGGGATATAGCTCAGTTGATAGAGTGCTTGCCTCACATGCATAAGGCCCTGGGTTCAATCCCCAGCACCATACAAAAAAAAATTCATAACAAAACTTTTTAGAAAAAGCTTTTAAAGAAACAAAAAGGTCTACCTGAAAGACTATCAGTGACTTACGATAGAACTGACATTTTAAATGATTATGTGAAGAAGTCTGCATAGGATGTAGTGGGATGTCTTTTAGGGCCTGGTGAAAATAAATTACTGTTTGATTTCTTATATACATGGCCTATGTGAGAAATTTCTCTGGATTGGATTTCATAATTCAGTTAAGCTGCTCAGAGAATTCCTTAAGTTGCTTGTCATGTTTTTGGATTGTATTAAAAAATTGTGGGTGTGGGTGTATCATGTGTATATATAATAWGGGGGTTTTTTTGTTGTTGTTGTTATTGTTGTTTTTGTTTTTCTTGGTACTGGGGATTTAACCCATGGGTGTTTTACCACTGAGCTACATCCTCACTCTTTTTATTTTATTTTGAGACAGGATCTCACTGAGTTGCTGAGGGCCTTGCTAATTAAGTTACCAAAGCTGGCCTTGAACTTATTATAATCCTCCTATCTCAGGCTCCCAAATTTCTGGGATTACAGATATGTGCCACTTCACCTGGCAATTTAAAATATATTTTGTATAATATTACACAATAATTRTACATRTTTATGGGGTACAGCATATTTCAGCATGTATACACACAAACACACAATATATTGAATACAGATCAAGGTAATTGGTATTTCCATCCCCTCAAACATTTTACATTTTACCATTTCTTTTACTTTGGAAGCATCAAAATTTTCTCCACTAGTTTTTTTGAAATACATTTTTAGTTGTCAACCAATTATTTCTTGCTGTGTTTATTATTCAAGAAATTTTTAGTGTAGTTGATATTTTGACATTGTCCAATTTTCATTTTTTGATTGCCTTCTATGTATATGTATGGATGGTGCTAGGAATAGTGAGTGGGAGGGATCCAGAAGAACTCTCTTCATTAGGAACAATCAGAATAGATATATGAAAAAGTATTGCCAAGAATTAGGATGTACAAACTAGATAGTATGTATACATAGAGGGAGAGAAGTATAGGATGATTTATAAAGAGAGGTAACTTTTTTTTTAAGAGAATTTATTTATTATTTGATTTTATTTTTTTAAATACACAACAGCAGAATGCATTACAATTCTTGTTACACATATAGAGCACAATTTTTCATATCTTTTTATATAATATAAAGTATGTTCACGCCAATTCCATGTCTTTATACATGTACTTTTTTTTGCATTACAATTCTTATTATACATATATACCACAATTTTTCCTATCTCTGTTTGTATACAAAGTAGGTTGACACCCAATTCATGTCTTCATACATGTACTTTGGATAATGATGTCCGTCACATTCCATCATCCTTGCTTATCCCCTGCATCCTTCCTTTCCCTCCCACCCCTCTTCCCTATCTAGAATTCATCTGTTCCTCCTATGTTCCCCTTCCTACCCCAGGGATGAGTCAGCCTCCTTACAGAGAAAACATTCGGCATTTGTTTTGGGGGGATTGGCTAACTTCACTTAGCATTATCTTCYGAGAGGTATCTCTTAAGCTGTACTTGATATGCTTAAGGAAGGACCCAGAGAGAACAGGGATCATTCAGGATTCTTCAGATGCAGACAACAACGTCACAATCACTTATTTCTTCTTCCCAGGCAAATGAAGACGTGACACAGATTGTGGAGATTCTCCATTCTGGGCCTAGTAAATGGAACTGGCTTACCCGGCGTCTGGTGGAATTTACTTCTTCTGGGAGTGTCCTCCTGTTTGTTACTAAAAAAGCTAATGCTGAAGAGCTAGCCAATAACCTTAAGCAGGAGGGTCATAATCTTGGGTTGCTTCATGGGGACATGGATCAGAGTGAAAGAAACAAGGTCATTTCCGACTTTAAGAAAAAGGACATCCCAGTCCTAGTAGCCACAGATGTTGCAGGTAGAGTATAAATTTCACAGTAACTATAACCCATTACTCTAAGGGTGCTGTCTTCTTCTGTTGTGAGACCCATATTCATGAGCAGGCTGAAAAACTCCTAGCCTGGCTGACTTCACCCCACAGAGCAGCAGTTTAGTACAATGATAACAACCTGGAGTTTGGGATACCACTTTTCCCTTAATGTTTCTCTCAGAACAGAGTATCGCTATAGCTAGAAGACACCTGGGGAAAAAAGGTTGTACCTTTATTGTGTGTCTAAATATGGTAGGTATCTTACATTGATTGTTATTAGTTGGGCATACTTCAGTCAAGATCAGAAAAGTAGCCAAGTGCAGAGGTGCATGCCTGTAATCTCAGCTGCTCGGGAGGATATCACAGGAGGATCTCAAGTTCAAAGCCAGCCTCAGCAACTTATCAACTCAGCCTAAGCAACTCAATGAGACACTGTCTCTAAATAAAACATAAAACAGGCTGGGGATGTGGTTCAGTTGTTAATTATCCCCAAGTTCAATATTCAACCCCCAGTACAAAAAAAAAAATCAGAAAAGTTTTTGAAGTTTTGGGGGACTAGAGGATGTGGGGCAGGGGGCAGGGTGTACCAGGGATTGAATCCAAGGGCGTTTAACCACTCAGCAGCCAYATTCCCAGCACTTTTTTAAATTTTTGTTTTGAGACATAGTCTCACTTCTTAGCTTAGAACCTTGTTAAATTGCTGAGACTGGTCTCAAACTTGCAGTCCTACCTCAGCCTCCCAAGCCACAGCAATTACAGGCATGCACCACCACACCCAGCTGGAATGTGATTTTTTTTTATTTTGTTCTGCTATTTTATTAGCTACCCTAAAAACTGGTATTTTTCTCTCAGGAGAGAAAATGCTCAGCTTTAAAACAGATTTGATCCCTGGGCACAGTGGCTTGTGCCTGCAGTCTCAGCTACTCGGCAGGCAGGAGAATTGTGAGTTTGAGGCCAGTCTAGGTAACATAGTGAGACCCTATCTTCAAGAAACACATTTCATACATGTATAAAGACATGAATTGGTGTAACATACTTTATATTCAGAGATATGAAAAATTGTGCTCTGTATGTGTAATAAGAATTATAATGCTTTCCGCTATCATGTATTTAAAAATAAAACCAATTAAAAAAAAGAAAGAAACACATTCCATGTCAGTTTGTTTACATAGTTCAGATAAAAGAGAGAGGCTTTGGCAGTTTATTGATGGCAAACGATAAGCCATTGCATTAGTGGCCCGGCATCATAGAATCTGTTGGGGTGATATTTGTTCTAGAAGGTAACTTATGTGCCTATACTGCAGCTCACCAGACTCATACACTCTGCCTAAATAAGGGAAACTAGTTTCTCAGAGCTCAAGCATTTTTAGTTTTGATCTTCTGGCTCCAGCTAAAGAATATAAGAATTTGATTGCTTTTTATTTCAGCACGTGGTCTGGACATTCCTTCAATTAAGACTGTCATTAACTATGATGTGGCACGAGACATTGATACCCATACTCACAGGATTGGCCGCACAGGAAGAGCGGGTGAGAAAGGTGTAGCCTATACCCTGTTGACCCCTAAGGACAGCAATTTTGCTGGTGACCTTGTCCGGAACTTGGAAGGAGCCAATCAGCATGTTTCCAAGGAACTTYTGGATCTGGCGATGCAGGTGAGGGGATAGGCACACTAAAGATTGCCTCAGATTATACAGCTAAGTTATATTTCAGCAGACAAGGAAAATAACATGGACAATTGACAAGAAAATGGGTTACAAGGTACWGATTGGAATTATGGGATATTAAAATTTATCTAGTCTATCCACTCATCCTCTCATTTTAACAGTGTTTGTGTTGAAAAGCTACTCCTTGCTTTGTGCTAAAATCTGTCCTTGTAATTTCTACCTGTTTACCCCATGGCACGCTTATGAACAATATCTGCTTTCTTAATGCTGCCTCCACCCCTAAAAAAAAAAAGTGGGGCGGGCTTCTCTTTTGGAGGCCTAAAAATGAGTGATATTTTTAAGAAAATAATTGTGTGGTGCTTCTAAAGTGTTCCTTACAAACTGAGATCTCAGACCTTTGACTACATGTTGATTGCCCTCTTCCAGAGATGCCTCAGTCTAAAACCAAGTGAGTCATTCTACCAAGTCAAATGAGGCATCTTAATGCAATTCCCAAATTACAGAGCAAATTCTTATATTGGAAATTGTTTTTAAATCTATGTTAGATTCATGGACCAGCCCACAGCTGTGTCAGCCTATAGGTAGTGTACCTGTAGTGTGGCACTACCTGCATTTCTGATCCTAGAATAAAGGAGAGAGGAGACGAATAATACTTYCTCTCCATTTCCTTGGTGGAAGAGAGCCAATGCTAAACTTAAAAATTTGAACTGGATACATTTTGTCTTTGTCTTTGTCTTTTTCTTAACATTCGTTTTGTACTTCATGTTCTCTCTGTTTAGCACTTTTCCCAGTCATGGCTACCTCTCAAGTACTTTTCTTTTTTAATAATATATGAATGTCAGATAAAGCTTTAACTTCCCATAGGTGTTTGTATTCTTAAGATAATGTGAATAAATCTAGTGAACAGTTTTTAGGCTGTGGTCAAGTTCAATGAAAACTTTTAAGACAGTGGGTAAATAAAATTTTCAGTTATGTGGTTTCTAGTCCTTCCTGAGAGTCTGTTCCTAGAGTTTACTCTAATAAGCCAAATGAGCCTGGCTTTTTTTTTTTTTTGGGGGGGGGGGACCAACCAGTTCTTTAAAGTTAAGTGGCCAAAATGGCTACTCTGCCTTTTAAAACTTACCTAATCGCTTCCCTTCCCTCAGAAGGAGGCCTTCATGGAAGGAATAATAAAGGAAGCCTTAGATATAAATGTGCATCTAAACCTCCTAAMAAATTTGGTGGATTAAACTACTGAAAGCATCCAGGTTGTGGGTTCTATGAATAGTTTCTTCCTTGCCATAAATAAATTGGCAAATAGTTCTTACCTCCCCTTAATTTCCTCTTTGACCTTGTCTTCTTCCTCTGGGCTTTTCTCCCTCTGCTGGCTTAACCTTGAATTGTGTTCAATGCAGAATGCGTGGTTTCGGAAATCCCGCTTCAAAGGAGGAAAAGGCAAAAAGCTGAACATTGGTGGAGGAGGCCTAGGCTATAGGGAGCGACCTGGCCTAGGCTCTGAGAACACGGTGAGTTCAGACTGTGGTAGTGCTCTTAGAGTYAGTCCATGTCTTAAATGATGGTAGGATCTGATCTGCCTAAAAAAGCGCCAGAGTTTGGGGCTGGAGCTGTGGCTCAGTGGTAGAGTGCTTGCCTAGCATGTGTGAGGCACTGGTTTCGACTCTCAGCTCTGCATATAAATAAATAAAATAAGGGTCCAATGACAACTAAACAATATTTAGGGGGGTTAAAAACCCAGAGTTCAAAATCTTGCCTGGCAGGTAGCATCTATTTAATCTACTGATTGAAGTAAATGCGGTGCTGGCTCAAGAAGAAGCATCTATATGTACTTGGCTGACCAGCTTTGCTTAGGAAAATTAGTATAGATTTGCAGTGGTTCTCAGATTATAACCCCTGGACTAGCAGAACATAGACTAATCTCCCACCACAGACATGGTGACTCAAATTCTTGAGGTGGGGACCACCAGTCTCTTTATAAGCCCCCCAACAATGACCTATAGCCTGCTGTTAAAAACATTGCCAGAGAGTCAATGTATAATCTCTAGCTGTATCTTGTCAGGAATGATCATACACTCTTTGTTGTTTCTCCTCTCTCTACCACCATCCCTCCCAGATAAGGGTCTTGCAGTGTTGCCCAGGCTGGTGTCCAGCTCAAGGGTTCAAGCGTTCATATTGCCTTAACCTCCCAAGTAGCTGAGTCTACAGGCAGGTGCCACTATACCTGGCTTATGCTTTGTTTCATTTTGTTAGAATTTCTGAGACAGGGTCTTGCTAAGTTTCCTAGGCTGATCTTGAAGTGGTAGGCTCAMGCAGTTCTTCCACCCCAGCCTCTGTAGTGGACAGGACTCTAGATGTGCACCAGTAGACTTGGCTTCTGCTTGATTTATGTCTTGTTGATTCCTAAGCCATGGAAGAAAGTTGCCAGTATACTTCTAGAACATTATAGCTAACTTGGCATCTTTGGTATATAAATACTCTGTTCCCACAGTATAATAATGATACTGCAAATAATAGTGATAGCTAATAGTTACTGAGCCTTTGTCTGGGCCAGGGCCATTCCAAGTATTAAATCTTCAACCCAGTATAAAAATACAGATACTAAAACTGAGGTGCCCAAAGTTACACACTGGTAAGTATTGAAGTAGAAATTCAGACTCTTAATGGTCTTGATTCAGAGCATAAACATTGTACAGTATGCTGTACTGGTGGCTTTTCATCTTTAACATTTTTTTTATTTAATTGAATGTTGTGTAAACAATACATGGTCGGGCTGGGGCTATAGCTCAGTGGTAGAGCATTTGCCTCCAATTCATGAGGCACTGGGTTCAATCCTCAGCACCACGTAAAAATTAATAAGTAAAACAGATATTGTGTTCATCTGTAACTAAAAAACATATTAAATAAAAAATAAAAATTCATGGTCCATTTTGGGCATAATTAATCTGATGGATATATATATATATATATATATATTTTTTTTTTTTTTTTTTTTGGCGGTGCTGGGGATTGAACGCAGGGCTTTGTATATGTGAGGCAAGCATTGTAGCAACTGAGCTATATCCCCAGCCCTCTGATGGGCATTTGTAGAAATAGAATTACTGGGTTGAGGGGCATGAACATTTTTAAATGGCTTTTTGTTACTGCACCTTTTCTTACAAAGTGTTAAGTAATTTAAAAAATATCCAGTTCCCATTCCAGTCTGTGGCAGTTGGCTCTTCCACCTATTTTTCCATTCTCATGGATACATTTATTTTTTAGGACCGAGGAAATAACAACAATGTAATGAGCAATTATGAGGCTTATAAGCCTTCCACAGGAGCCATGGGAGATCGGCTGACAGCAATGAAAGCAGCTTTTCAGGTCTGAAATAAACATTTTGCTAAAATAGCTTTCAGTAGTAACTCGTGAGCAGTSATGAGGGGGCTGGTCTTCCTGAGGGTAGTAGATGAGCGGATAAAGTTCATGTAGAATAAGGCCTTTTCATTGCTTGGATTGCATATTAAACTAACAGTACCTTACCTGGGGATCTGCATACAGAGCAAAAACCTTTGTGCTGGTCATCTGTATCTGTCCTAGCCAGAGTCTGGGATTACTGTACTACAGCAGGATTTTTTCTACAACCTGTGATGTTACCCACCTCCAAGACTTTCCCAGTCTAGTTCAGAGTAATTGCCATGTTCTTGGCTAAAACCAGTTTGATGCTGTTCATCACTCTACACATTTTTTTCTTCTCTTTAAAATGTAGTCTCACTATGTTGCCCAGGCTGGTCTCAAAATTCATGAGATCAAGTGAGCCTCCCTAGTAGCTGGGATCACAGGCATGTGTCACCATGCTCAACTTTCTGATTAACTGGCTGGGCTTTAATTTTAATCTACAGATTAATCTGTACCAGACTGATGGTTCCAGATTGGGCCCATGATTGTTTTTCTGTTTTTCACTAATAGAGGGATTCAGAAACCCTTGTTTAGGAATCTAGGATTTATTATTCAGATTTGAGAAACAATGATAGATAGTGCACATATTGTCACATCAACAAGGTCTATAGCCACATTTTACATAATTAAGTAGAAACTAAATAATAGCCTTCTATCCATTCAAATTAGGTTTTGCTGTCAAACTTTCTYTTTTGGTATTGGGGATTGAACCTTGGGGTKCTTTACCATTGAGCTATATCCTCAGTCCTTTTTAAGACAGGGTCTCCCTAAGTTTCTGAAGCTGGACTCAAATTTGCAGTTCTCCTGCCTCAGCTTCTCAAGTAATCAGGATTGTGAGTATGGTGCTAAGGATTAAACAAACCCATGGTGTTGCACATTGCACATTCTAGGTCTACTTCCCATCTGCACTCCCAGTGCATTGCTGTGAAACTTTTTAAAAAATGTTTTGTTTTTTGAACTTGTGGTATTTTTGAATTGTAARTAGCAGACTGCAGACCATAAATATATTGAATTACTATACACAGGCTTTATTCTAACCTGTSAGGCAGTGAGTGTTGATACATTGAGGTCCATCTATCCACAAAAATCTGTTTTCCTTTACAGCACAAGATCCAAAGGACCTGTGCTATGGGGGCTATCAGGATACTAAAGTCATAGAGCCTAGATAGCTAATTTCTGTGTGATTATTACCAAATTTATATGTATACTCATTTCTTAAATTTGTTAACATAACTACTACTGGTGTCTTTCTTTCAGTCACAGTACAAGAGTCACTTTGTTGCAGCCAGTTTAAGTAATCAGAAGGCTGGAAGCTCTGCTGCTGGGGCAAGTGGATGGACTAGTGCAGGGAGCTTGAATTCTGTTCCAACTAATTCAGCACAGCAGGGCCATAATAGTCCTGACAACCCCATCACCAGTGCCGCCACCAAGAGCATCCCAGGCTTTGGCAATACAGGGAACATCACCAGTGCTCCAGTGACCTACCCTTCTGTCGGAGCCCAGGGAGTCAACAACACAGCTTCAGGAAATAACAGCAGAGAAGGAATTGGGGGTGGCAATGGGAAGCGAGAGAGATATACTGAGAATCGGGGTGGTGGCCGCCATAGCCATGGAGAGAGTGGCAATCGGCATGGTGATAGTCCACGGCAYGGAGACGGTGGTCGACATGGAGATGGATATCGCTACCCAGAAAGTAGCAGCAGCCGCCATACTGACAGCCACCGGCATGGGGAGAACAGGCATGGAGGAAGTACAGGCCGGCATGGGGAAAGCCGGGGTGCAAATGATGGTCGGAATGGAGAAAGCAGGAAAGAAGGTTGTAATCGTGAAAGCAAGGTGGACCCCAAGGTGGACAGCAGCAAGATGGACAAGATGGACAGCAAGACAGATAAGACAGCGGATGGTTTTGCTGTCCCTGAGCCACCCAAACGCAAGAAAAGTAGATGGGACAGTTAGAACATATGTGCTATAGCGTGAAATCAGTTGTCTTTAATTTTATTTTTAGAGATTTTGGTAACTAGGTGTCTCAGGGCTGCATTGGGGCCCAAGGTGTAAGAACCCCTGCCCTCAGTGGAGAGCAGAGACATTACACCTTCATCTGAATGATTGTTCAGATGCTTTCTTGGGAAGCTATTTTGGTCCCAGCAAGCAGTGAGAGCTGGGTAGCTTCTGTTGGCTCTGGGTGAGTTTCATGAGGGTAAGTGGAAGGTACTTCCAGAGAAAAGGGCCTTGTAGGGCACAAAACTCACTCTAAGTTTATATTATAAGTAGCTTCTATTTTTTACTAAAATGTCACCTTATAAACATCTATAAATTGAATTTCTTTTTCTTAGCTATGTGGCCAGGCAGTCCCCTTTTTAGGAGTTGGTATCTGTAAACCTAATCCATTGAGCTGTTAGGGATGTTTGGGAAGCAATTTGGTGCTTCCAGACATTCACAGGGAAGGGAGATGCCCAATTCCAAACAAGAGTTGACTCTCAGGTCCCCTAGCGAGGTTTGTATCCAGCCCTGAGACATGTAGGAAGAGGCAGCCTTCCAGACCTAGGCTTTTGAGATTTCCAGAGATACTATGATAAAAAAGTGATTACTCCTGGAAAGSGTTCCAGGAATGCTCCAGGTCTGAAGCGTTGCTGAATTTAAAATTCAAAAAAACAAAAAAAACCAACAGCTTTTGAAGTGTCTTCTATTTCGTTGTATTTTTTTTTTAACTTGCCCCAATGGTAGAGATGTCTTTTGCTGAAATGATTGATGATTTTTGTTCTATCTTGTTTATAAAAGGAAAAGAAATATACAAACTTTGAATTTTGTGACTTTGTGAAGGTTTCTTTAAGATGTGCATTCCTCTCTGCTTGCTCTCTAGTAAATGTTTTACTACTGGGACCTATGGATTGTCTGTCATTTCTACTTTAAAATAGTTAAATTATGATTTGACAGTAGATGGTGGGAACACTCAGATGTGGGAAAAGTACTTATTAAATCGCCAGAAAAGGTATCTGTGCTATCATTTTGGTTTTTATTCAGAAGGCCCAAGAATAGGCTATAACAAACATGGCCAATGCTAAAATTCCTTAAGATTTAATGATCTGACTCTTCATTCAGCACCATGCCAGAGTATGGGGGTCTGAGGGACCATCCTCCAACCATGACATCATCTTGTGGCTCCACCTCCCAGCCTACTCAGTCAACTATGATGTGAGCTGCACCATATCTTCCCTTAGTTTTATAATCTTCCCAGGAGGAGGTAGCTCTCACTTCCGCTTCTGTTTTTTCTTCTGGTCCTTACGTTGTTGTGCCCGCTGATCCTTCTTCATCCTGGAGTCCACCACCTTAAAATGACCTCTAACTCCAGCTGGCCGCCTCACCTTGCGGCCCACACCTTTTTTAGCTACAACATAGGTGACTTGGCGTTTCTCCTTGCCAAGCCCAGCCTTCTTGTAGAGACTACAAAGGGGAAAGCACATGAGTTAGAGGTCTGATTTCTGCTGTTCTTTTACCATAATGTGCCTCTGTGCATATACTCCCCTCAATTACCTTCTTAGCTGTGCCACCTTCTCTCTTTCTGAGATGTCCACTGTGTTCACCACAGCTTCAGCCTTCTTCTTGGTTTGCTCCAGCTTCTTCAGCATCTGGGAGGGGGCCTCAGTCAGGTGACCTCTCTTCCCATATTCTATCCACACCTAACTCCAGGCAGCCCCTACCACTTACCCTCCGTTTCTTTCTAGCCTTGGCCTCAGCCACTTTCTTGATAGGACGTGCATTAATTTCCCGCCAGCGTTTCCGGTAATACTCCACCTCCTTCTTATCGATAGGCAGTTGCCTTATCCGGTGCTGCTTCTCTTCCTGCACAAACCATTCTGGAAGCTCCTCCTCATCTTCATTAAATGTGTACCTACGTGGAACAGACATCAGTCCATCAACCAACCACTCCAGGCTTCTTTAGGAAGAAATCACCCATATGGCCAACTACACCTGATGATTTTCTGTCCCCCTTACCGGTTGAAGGAGTTGTCTATAAGGTCTCTCTTGGCCTTTTTGGAAGAGGCAATTACAGCACCTAGAGCAAGGCCTTCAGGATCTAGAATCCGATGTTTCACTAGAGGAAAGGACAAAAGTCAAACCCCGATTCCCAACATAGATTCCCACTGGTCTCATTCCACTCTGTATAAACCTCTCACCTGGGTCCTCAATAGGCACTACCTCAAATCCGTCGTCATCAGACTTAGRTCTCCGGCTTCGCTTTTTACCATGGGATGACTCCCAGCTGTGGAAGATGAAAGGATTATATTCTACCCTCTCCTGTGCCTCATCATTGCTTCCTACTTTAAGCCACTTAAAAGAACTTGCAGGAATTCAGGTTGTGCCCTGGGCCAATTAAGTCAAACACATATTTTAAAGCTCCCTAAATATAGCCAACGTTATAGGGAATGCCCATACTAGAGAAATGACCCATACTACTGCTTCCTCTTCATCCAGTTTCCCATCAGCTGTACCCACTCACCTCTCTTCATCCTCGCTGCTACTGCTATCACTCTCTGAGCTGCCATCTCTTTCTTCCCCTCCAGGATGAGTGGCACTTTTTGTTCCGGAGGGAGCCTCTATCCTCTTAGGGATCTCATCCTGGCACTGGGGAGACTTCCTCTCAGTCTTTAAACTGGAAGGTGGTGGTGGCTGTGGCTGCTGGTTTCTTTGCTGCTGCCCCTTCCGGCGGCTCTCATATAATAACTGGGCCTGACTGATTTCCAGGGCCTCATCAGCATCATCCTCAATCCCACTGAAGCCATCCTGTGGTACAAGAAATTTTCAACTCCCTTTATCCCTGGGAATTCCAGTGTCCCATCAGCCTTGCTCCCAGCTTCCTCTTACCTTTGAGAACCACAAATTGGCTTGTTCTTCCTGCAGCACTGTCTTTTCCTCCAGTGGTACCAACAGTGGATTTTCTTCTTCCACCTCTTCCTCTTTATCATTATCTACTTGAGTAAACCGCACACTGCAGACCCCAAAAAAAGTTGGGGGATGCTTAGTACCCCCACGTGGACTCTGCCTCAGAAGTTGAGCTAAGGGTGGTGGCACTTCCTTTGGCATGCGCGCRCRCACACACACACACACACACACCCCTTACCTCTTTTGGTCCTTTAGACCTTGATGTCTACTGACTCCTGCCAACTCCTCTGAATCCAGATCACTGTCCAGAGATGCATCATCATCATCGTCCTCAGCATCTGACACATAGATGTCATCTCTTGGCAAATCAGCCAGAAATGTGTCTGCAGCACTCATGTCACCTTGTGTTACTTCCTCTAACAACTAAAGAAAAACAGATCAAATATTCAAGGAAACCTACTGTGTTTTCTCATATCCAATATCTTAATTCCTAGCAACACTAGGAATATAAATACATGATCTCCTTTCACAGCAGGGCAGCTATAACCCTGGAATATGAGTAGCTTGTCTAAAACATCCCACTCAGGTCCAGTCCCACTTACTGGTTTAAAAAAAAATCACTCTTCCAGAATCCAGTGGCACACATCTGTAATTTAGCAACCTGGGTGGCTGAAGCAGGAGGATCACAAGTTCCAGGCTAGTCTGGTCAACTTAGTAAGACCCTAACTCAAAAGGGCTGGGGATGTAGCTCTGTGGTAGAGCACCCCTAAGTTAAGTCCCAGTATTGAAAAAAAAACAAGGGGCTGGGGTTGTGGCTCTTCGGTAGAGTAATTGTCTAGCATGTGTGAGGCACTGGGTTTGATTCTCAGCACCACACTTAAATAAAGGTCCATCAGCAATAAAATATTTTTTTAAAAAATTCCTCTCAGAAAGCACCTGAATTACTTGAGAACACATCTATACTTTGATTCCACTGAGAAAAGCAGCCCAGACAACCTGTCTGTTTCACTTCAAACATCAGAACCTCAATCTTTTGCGTGATATCTGCGATTGAACCTGAGGCACTCAATCACTCGCCTATGTCCCCAATCCTTTTTAGAATCTTGCTAAGTTACCCACACTGGCCTGGAACTTGGCAACCCCCCTGCCTCAGCCTCTTAAGTAGCTAGGATTACAGATATGTACCACAACACCAAAATCTATTTTAATCATGGCAAAGAGCTATTATTTCTTCAGTGTTCACCACAACAGGAACTGCACCCAACGATGTTTTTAAAAATTTCTCACAAAAACACTTAACATATTCTACTACTGTTGTACAGATGAGAAAACTGAGGCAGAAAAAAGGTAAATGGGAATGAGCTCAGAGTTACACAGTTCAAGTGGTAGATCTGGATCTGAGACTAAGCTCTAGGGCCACCAGGCTCTACTGTCTTTCCTAGGCAATAAAGATGGTCTGTATTGTGTCATTCCCACACAAAAGTCACAAAAACTTGCTTGGCTTGTGACAGTTTTTAATAGGAAAAAGCTTGTTCCTCAGTGCATGACCCAACAGCTTAACATGAGGTACTAACTTGGTAACAAGGAACTAAAAAACATTGCTTCCTGCTAAAGGACACCCTGTTTTCACCTGTGCTGGTAACCAGATGCCCTGGCTGCATCTAATATAACCTAAACTTGTGGTCTTAGTATTCTCATTCCCGAATCATAAATCTATAACACAAATCTTCTTCATTCATCACTGTTTCTTTTCGGCCTTTGTGTTCAGATGGCTCTTATTTTATCTCCAGTCTCCCCACTGCCTGCCAATTCTTTTTACAGATGAAGTCAGCAACCAAAGCTCATGATAATTCAGCACACTTAACCCAATCCTCCCACCTCCAGGTACCCAAACTGACCACTGTTTCCTCAATCTCTACCCTCAACCCCACCTCACCTGGTGACCCCGAATGGTGCGCAGGGAGAACATGCCTGTCTCCCCCTCATCCGCAATGGAAACCCCAGGCAGATCCATCTTCAGTTCTACTCGTTCCCGCTGCTTTCTCTGCTCACGTAGCAACTTCTTTTTCTTCCTGAAGGGATGGGTTGAGGGACTAAACCTGCTGGGCTCTGAAGATTCCCCATCCATGCTTTCCATTCTACTACCTTCAGGCACTGAGGAACTGTGTATTGGATTTCCCCTCACCTCCTTAATTCTGCTACCTCCTGGGCTTTCATCTCCGCCAGGGTTTGGTTTAGTTGCTCCTCTTCTTCCTCCTCCTTGGAAGGCTGCTTTGTGGTTCCACCCGTTGACTCCTCCTCTTCCTCACCTTCCTCCTCCTCTCCTGAGCTGAGACTGACAAAGCAGTCCAAGGAGTTTGGTTATTTTGCCAGACACTTCCTTCAACACCCAGTTTAGCTATCTCAATTTAGTTCCCACCTCACCTGAGATCTAGTGCCTTTGCTTGCTCTTTTAGCTTCTTGGCCACATATCGTCGAAGTTTTGTTCTCCAGTTCAGTAGTGACCTGCCCCAGAAATATATTAGCATCTCTTCCTTTGTCCTTGYCCCCTCTTCTATTTTCAGCCCATGGTTTAATTTTTAGGTTTCAGCCACATAAATGCTAAAGCTCAGGTCTCAATCACTAACCTCCAGCACAAGAGTACACTTTTCCCAGAAATCCAATGTCACGGTTTCAAAGAAAAGCCCTTTTCTTGTCCTCAGGGCTCCTAGGTCCCAATGCCCACTGTACTGCATACCTGAGCTCCTTGCGCCCCAGCACTCTGATGTCCTGACAGCATGCCTGTATGTCTTCAGTGGTGGCTGGATGCTGTGCCAATTCTTCATCATTTATTGAAATCTATTTGGAAAGAATAGGAGTCAAGGGAGATTTTCAGGTCCTGTGACCAAGGCTCCCTTACATTCCTCGAGTCTGAAAACTCACTTCGCTGGCCTTGGAGAGGAAGTCAACAGGGTTGGCAGCTCGCAAGAAGTCAGTGACTGAAGTGCGGTGATAAAGAGTAAGGTCACCCTCAGCATAGCCTTCAGCCTTATGGAGAGAAAAATGGGTGAGCAGTCACTTCTGAGCTATGTGAATGACCCAGAGGGGTAGAGCCTCCCCAGAGTTCCAGGACCTTTGGCCCCAACCCCAAACATACCTTTGGCTTCTTCTTGGACACCAACTCAGTAACAGTCTTAGCTTGAACCTCAACCTCCTTGAAGGCAAACTTGGGATCGAAGAATTTACTGTCAACCTTGTCAGGAGCCAGAAATCCTAAAATAGTTAAGACATATTTCAAAATGTGGTTTGGAGCTGGATGTGGTGGTGTACTCCTGTAATCCCAGCGACTCAGAAGGCTGAGGCAGGAGGATAATGAGTTCAAAGCCAGCCTCAGCAAAACTTGGTGGGAACTTAGCAACCCGGAAAGACCCTGACTCTAAATAAGATACCAAACAGAGCTGGGAATGTGGCTCCGTAGTTCAGTRCCCCTAGGTTCAATTCCTGGTACCAAAACAAAACAAAAACAAACCAAAACAACACAAAATGCGGTTTGGCAGTTAGAAGGCTGGATCAAGATAAAGAAGAAAATAATACTCACCCTGGCAGACTACAAAGATTTCTGCAGATTCATGGCGAGAGGCTTGGGGTTTTGTGGCCTGGACCCGGCGGAACAGCTGCTGGAATATCCACAGCAAGGGCTGATAATCTCGAGAACGAAAAACCTTTGTRATGAAGCAACCACCACGAGCCAAAAAATCACAAGCCAGACGTAGAGCCATCAGTGTCAAGTGGGCTATAGGACAGAGACAGTCAATGAGGACCCATGTGGCCTGCAGGCATACCACCTCCACSTCCACTCTCCTCTCCAAGCCCACACACCCTGCACCTTGTGAGTAAGCATCATGGACCCAGCTGGCCCCAACATTGGGGGCCCCATCATTGAGTACAACATCAACCTTCCAGGTCTTCAGCTCCTTCCTCAGGGCCTACAGAGAAGCAAAGGGATTACGGCATCAGAAACACAGAAATGGCTAAGAATACATTTCCCAGTTTACTATCTATACCATCCAGTTATTTACTGAGTGGCCTCCATGGCCCAGATTCTGTGCCAGACACTGGGGAATACAACAGGAAACAAAACTTATACATCTCCATCTTTATGAAAATTGAAGTACAATAGTCCACTGGAAAGCACTTCACTAAAGTCTCTGCCCTTCCCCCAATTCCAATCACCTTCATCCCTGACTCTTTAAGATTGAGGTGCACACTGGGATTCTCATGGGCCTGTCAGAGATGTCATGCGGACACTCGCTCACAGTATAATAAACAGGRRAAAAAAAATGCCTTTAGGGTGACTTGAAGGATGTGCATATTTGCATATAAAGGGACAGGGAGAGAGAGATTCATACTACCTGCCTACATCGTTCTGTAGTGATGTCCTCCTGGAGAGTCACCACATTGGGGAGAGGCTTGATTGGAACCAAGTCCACTCCTGGGAAAAATCAGATCAGAGTACTCTAAAGGGCTGCCTCAAGCAAGAAGTGGTACCTCATACACATTCCCTAAAATACCAGGAGAATCGCCTGTTACTCACCCACAATAAGGCTGGACACAGGCATAAACTTGGCAGCCACCTGCAGCCTATGAAAAAGAACAGAGACTAAAATACCTAGGACTGTCCCTTTCCCTCCCTTAGCAATGAGATTTCTCACTCTCACTGTTAGTGGCAATTGCCATAGAGTGGACAATCATGTCATATACATTACAATTACAAGCCTTTTCTCCCGTCAAGAAATGACCCTTTCCCTGGCACTGGATTATCCCTCAAGGTTTAGAAGAGACCAATGGCTGGAATGCACAAAAATCTGAAGCTGGAATTATTGCACTGCGGGTCAGGAAAGCTCCGAATCCCGACCTTAACCAATGCAACTCTAAGCCAGTCAGGGCCAGGAAATTGCCTTCGAGAGAATGGTGTGTTACGCACCAGCCTCCTGGCGCAGCACACAGATCCAACAAGGCTCGAGCTTTCTGCAGGAACTGAAAGCGGCGATTGAGTTGGATCAGCTTGAAAGCAGAGCGGGAACGATAACCTGGGGTTGGTGACAAAACAATGTTTCGCGTAGCGCTTTTCCAGGACTTCCCCAGATTCATAACCCACCACCCCTTCTGCGGAAAAAGAACCCAATATTCGAAAAGGCAAAACGATGAGGATCAAGATCATTCTCTCGTTCTCTCCAAGTACGTACCCTCACTTACCAGTCTCCTTTGCCAGGTGATAAAACTTGTCCCGCCGACTCTTGCCGACTTTGCCCTTCTTGCCCATRATGAAAAGGATGAATGTCACTCAATCTGGGGAGAAAGCAGGAGTTGGGACGTATCTTTTAAAAAAATTCCGCTTCCATGTCCCACCTCTCGCAACAACCACAACCCACCCCTAGCTTCCCAAACCTCAACCCAGCGCCGTCCACAGTAGCAGCAGCACATGCAGACAGCAAGTGAACTTCCGCTTCCGTTTGCGCCCTCTGCGTCTCTGTCGCCAACTCCTTCGCCATCTTGAGTGTGTCCATTAATCTTCAAATTTTGCCCCTAGATGTACGAGTTGAAAGTTGGGACCAGAAGAGCATATTTCAACGAATAAATACCTAGTTTCTAAGAAGCAACAACTAGGATCTCCCTTTCATGTAYAGTTCCTAACAAATTTCCTGACCTCGAGAAACCACTCTTCCCATCAGCTCCCTTTCGCGCCTCCCCTCACACCCCGCCCATTGACCCGGAACTCTTCTCTGTTGAGTCCTCAGGCCTCAAGCCCTCGCTTCCGCGCCTGCGCAATAAGGCAGCGCGGATGCCGGCGGTCTCCGTTGAAGAAAGAAGATGGCGCTTGACGGGCCAGAGCAGGTATGGTGACGGTGTCTGCGTCTGCAGCCGGGTAGAGGCCGTGGCAGGGTGTGGAGCAGGCATGATTCTAGGTGGGGAGCGGGCCGGGACAAGAGGATCAAGTGGGCCGGAGTTAGGTGGACCAATCCAAACTGGGCCTTGCCTGAGCCCGGATTTGCTGTGTCAGCCCCGCCACCGGCGAGTCGGGCAGGGGCTGGGTAGAAGTGGAGTGTGGAGAGATGGGATAAGTCACAGTAGACCGTATGCCAGTCCTTAATGCTGGCTCTGTGTAGTAATAACACTTTGGATGTATATGGCGCTTGCCACAATGCACAGCACTCTGGTGTATACGGTTTCTTGATCCTCCTAAAAGTCTTAAAAGGTAGTTGGTATCTGCATCCTGACATTTTGGTCTTAGGAAATGGAGAGAGAAAAGGGAGGGAGGAATTAGGGATTTCTCCTACCCAGAGCTGCCTGGTGACAAGCCTTATGGAGAAGTGCCCTGGAAGTGGCTTTATCTCTTGGATGTTTATCCTCACATTTAGTAACTACACTCTGTCTGTCTTCAGATGGAACTGGAAGAGGGAAAAGCAGGCAGCGGACTCCGTCAATATTATCTGTCCAAGATTGAAGAACTCCAGGTAAGAACAAACTGGGTGGCAGGGTGAGGGGAGTTGGAAGGGAAGAGAATTGAGAGAACCACAGTTCTATATAATTCCATCAGGAATGCAGTGGAAGAAGCTATTTTCCTATTTTTTTTTTTTTTTTTAGTTTTCAGAAAAGTGCAAGAAGTAACAAGTCGCTTAAAGTATATCACATAAGCCAGTCTCTTGTTCCCTTTAAGCTCCTCCTCTGTGAGGACAGTAGTATTCGCAAATGTTACTTTTCTGCAAGTGTGAAATTTTAATAGAAAAGGAACCACTAAGGCTGGGGAGTGGCTCAAGTGGTAGCGCCCTCGCCTGGCATGCCTGCGGCCCAGGTTCTATCCTCAGCACCACATACAAACAAAGATGTTGTGTCCGCTGAAAACTAAAAAATAAATATTTTTTTTAAAAATTCTCTCTCTCTCTCTCTCTCTCTCTCTCTCTCTCTCTCTAAAAAAAAAGAAAGAAAAGAAAAAGAAAAGGAACCACTAGCCTAAGGCTGTAGTTTTTGGAAGAAGTGTAAATGCAAAGATTTCTTATAAAATGGAAGGCATAGGCCCAGGATATCAGGAAATTTGGGGCAGGTGAAACTTTAGGAACTTGAGGAAGGACAGTATTGAGAAGTCTGGACAACACTGATGTCATGGGGACTGAGTGAAAGGAACAGGGCAACCCAGTGCTCTGTATTAAAGAGCTAAACCAGAACCAGCATGATGGTGGACATCTGTAACCCCAACAACTCAGGAGGCTGAGGCAGGAGGATTGTAAGTTTGGGCCCAGCCTCAGCAGTTTTGCAAGAACTTTCTCACAAAAGAAATGAAAAGGACTGGGGATATGGCTCAGTGATAAAGTGCTGCAGGATTAAATCCTTAGCTCCCCACCACCACAAAAAAAAAAAAAAAAGCTAAGCAAGAGAAATAGGTGGGATAGAGGGGCACGAGGACAATTTCCAAACTCCAGGTACATTTGCAGATATTGTATTTGGTTTATCATTTATTATTGCTTCTACATGTGATTTTATTTGTTCTTCCAAGTAGTCTTGAAATGAAGCAGGTTTGTTAATGCTGTGCAGTTTGGTGACAGGTTTTTTTAAGTGCCTTACTTTTGATTTACTTTTTTTTTTTTTTTAATAAATTTATTTTTTTTTTTTTAATGTGGTGCTGAGGATCGAACCCAGTGCTTCACACATGATAGGCAACCACTCTACCACTGAGCCACAACCTCAGCCCCTGCTTTACCTTTTAATTGACAGTAGCTGGGCTAGAATTAWGGCCTCTCACTTAAAGCTGTCTTTTGCTGGGTGCAGTGGCTTATGCCTGTAATCCCAGCAGACAGAGATTGAGACAGGAAGATTGCAAGTTCAGAATCAGCCTCAGCAATTTAGTGAAGCCCTCAGCAATCTAGCAAGATTCCATCTCAAAATAAAAAGGACTGGGCCAGGCACAGTGGTGCACACCTGTAATCCCAGCAACTTTGGTGGCTGAGCCAGGAGGATCACAAGTTCAAAGCCAGCCTCAGCAAATTAGCAAGGCCCTAAGCAACTCAGACCCCATCTCAAAATAAAAAGGGCTGGGGATCTAGTTCAGTGGTTAAGCACCCCTGGGTTCAATCCCTGGTACCAATAATAACAAAGCTCTCTCCATTGCCTCTTCAAAAGAAAGTCACTACACAAGCCAGCTGTAACTTTTCTCTATTAGATTCTTTTTTCCTGGACCAGTATTACACAACCTTTTGTGGTGGCTGCCCTAGACTCCTAAGGGACTCTTGGAGGACTGAACAGGGTCATTAGGATCCTACTGGAGAATCTGAAATAACATGCAGGTGATTTTCCCATGGTTCACATCTGCCTGTGAGGGTCTTGGCCAAGATCCTGCTGTTGCTCTGGGGTAATGGAATTTGTCTCTTGCCCTCCACAGCTGATTGTGAATGATAAAAGCCAAAACCTCCGGCGGCTGCAGGCACAGAGGAATGAACTAAATGCAAAAGGTGAGGGGGAAATACGGAAAGCTACATGTATGTGGTTTGAGGTGTAGCTGTTCCTAATCTCCTTGACCTGCAGACTCATAGCAGTTCAGTTTTCTTCCCTTCCATGGAGATGCTGCCCACCGTCATTATGTAGTTGTTTTCTGTGTACATCTCTCTCAAGAGCTCTGCTGTAAACCCCTTCAAGATGTGAATTTTATCTTTTTTGACTGTGACCTTCTCTTCAAAACTTTTATTAAAGTATTACTTGGTTTGTGCATGTTGAGTTTGAGTTCAGGGGAGGGGAAGCAAGGTCACCACTGTGTCTTTTGCCATCTAGTTCGCCTATTGCGAGAGGAGCTACAGCTGCTGCAGGAACAGGGCTCCTATGTGGGAGAAGTAGTTCGGGCCATGGATAAGAAGAAAGTGTTGGTCAAGGTAAAAGCAGAATGGGACCAGCATATTGTCCACTGCACTCCCACCCTTTGTATGAAGCCTTGGGAAGACAGTGTTCTGTCATGTTATTCTAGGAATCCCATGGGTCTTCCTGGGTGAGGTTGGTGAGTTGGTGGCTGTCAGGGAAGGTCATGAGCCCCTGTTTCTTCAGGTACATCCTGAGGGCAAGTTTGTCGTAGATGTGGACAAGAACATCGACATCAATGATGTGAGTGGAGCTGGTGAGGGTAGGGGTGGTCAGTTCCTAGGGCACTACTTCCTGAAACTTGACCCCTCCATTCAGGTGACACCCAATTGTCGGGTGGCTCTAAGAAATGACAGCTACACTCTGCACAAGATCCTACCTAACAAGGTGGACCCTCTGGTGTCACTGATGATGGTGGAGAAGGTGCCAGATTCAACTTATGAAATGATTGGTGGGCTGGACAAACAAATCAAGGAGATCAAAGAAGTGATTGAGCTGCCAGTGAAGCACCCCGAGCTCTTTGAAGCACTGGGCATTGCACAGCCCAAGGTGAGGCTTCTCCTGGAGATGGGCTATCCTCCCTCCTCTCTTGGCTGGGGGAGAGGTTTCTAGGCCACTAAACTGGTTTGGATATAAGCTCTGAAGAGACCTTGATATTTATTTTTTTGTATCTCCGATCTCTAGTAAGTGAGCAGATACAAACCAGCACTCACTAAACGTTCACTGAGTGAGTTAGGCTGGCTTTCTGCCCTGAATCCTGCTATTTCCCCCAGGGAGTGCTGCTGTATGGACCCCCAGGGACAGGGAAGACACTGTTGGCCCGGGCTGTGGCTCATCATACAGACTGTACCTTTATTCGTGTCTCTGGCTCTGAATTAGTACAGAAGTTCATCGGGGAAGGTAACTGGCTAAGAATGGGCAAACCAAGTAGAAGGGTGGAGGGTACAAATCTCAGTAGCTCCTAACACCAGGTTGGCCTCTGCACAGGGGCAAGAATGGTGAGGGAGCTGTTTGTCATGGCACGAGAACACGCTCCATCTATTATCTTCATGGATGAAATTGACTCCATTGGCTCTTCACGGCTGGAAGGGGGCTCTGGAGGGGACAGTGAAGTGCAGCGCACAATGCTAGAGCTACTCAACCAGCTGGATGGCTTTGAGGCCACTAAGAATATTAAGGTGAGGTGGTAGCCTCAGAACAAGCCAAGGGAAGGCCTGGGGTGACAAGCAAGCTAAAAAAGAATTTAGCTAAACCTCTTCTCTTTCTTTGCTCAGGTTATTATGGCTACTAATAGGATTGATATCCTGGATTCTGCACTGCTTCGCCCTGGGCGCATCGACAGGAAAATTGAATTCCCACCTCCCAATGAGGAGGTCCGTAATGGGCAGTACCTTGAGTGGCTCTGTCTATGGGGTTAGGGAGTGGAGCTCAGGGCTTTTTTTTCCTCCTGTTTCTAGGCCCGACTGGACATTTTGAAGATTCACTCTCGAAAAATGAATCTGACCCGGGGGATCAACCTGAGAAAAATTGCTGAGTTGATGCCAGGAGCATCAGGGGCCGAAGTTAAGGTAATTGAAGTCCAGAGAAATGGGGTAATACCAGGAAGTTCTGGGTTCT